TCATTTTGGGGTCATACAAGTGAATTGAGGCAGACCAAAAAAGGCAAATGGGTGGGATAGAACCCAAGAGATTGGGAAAACTGCACGGGACAGGGCCCAAAGTTCTCTTCTTGCTGCCTGGTGCCTAGGTGTCCCAAAGTGGCAATCCAAAATCTAACTCCATCCCTGCAAAGCAGGGTCCTCTGCCCTGCATCTTAATAATAAATTCCAATTTTGGCGCTTTAGAGACATGGGTGGGGGGTGTTACTATAGGCTCTGTCTCCACCCCTTAGAGCGACACTTGACTCCACCCCAAAGGAATACTCTGACTCCGCCTCTTCCGGGTAACAGGCAAGCCCCACCCTAGTTCGCGACGGAGTCCCTGTGACGTAACGGTAACGGTCTGTTTCCGGGGTGGAGCCAGGGAGGGCGGGAGTTTAGGCTGCGCTGACCCCTCAGCCCCCCTCCAGGTGACCCCAGCCCCCGAAAATCCTCGCCCGGGCCCCCAGATATCCTAACCTCATAGACACCAAGCCTCTCGCCCTGACCCCCTAAATGTCCCAGGCCCCTAAAATGACCAGCCTCCTTATCCCTGACGTTTAGTGCCTCCCAATCTTCAATCCCACCCCATGTGGCAATTGAGGCTTCCCTGGGGCACCTGCCTCATATGATCTGATAACAAGTGAGACTGGTCCTGAGCATGTCAGAAGGGCACCTGGGGTTGGGGAGTCCTTGATCCAATCATGCCGCTCCCCAGGAGACGTTCGGAGCCCGGGACATGTCGGGATTGAGGAGATACGAAGTGGCGCTGGAGGCGGAGGAGGAGTGAGTGGAGGCGGGGTTCTGCGGAGGAGGAATCTACCCGCTACGCGGTGGGGGGAGGGCGCAGGTCCTCTGGGGGCGGGAGGAGCAGGGGGTGGGGCCTCTTAGGGGCGTGGGCTTGTAAGGGACCCGCCTCTAGAGGGCGGAGCGCTCGCGAAAGGGGCGAGGCGTCCGAGGGGCGGAGTCTACGGGGGTCAGCCCGCCCCTCCCCGCCCAGCCCTACGGGGCCCAGCCCGGCTTTGCCCTGCCCCGCCGGGCCCGGCCCGGCCCGGCCCCGCCCGGCCCTGCCCTGCCCTGCCCTGCCTTCTCCCCACAGGATCTACTGGGGCTGCTTCTACTTTTTCCCCTGGCTGCGCATGTGGCGGAGGGAGCGGAGGTGAGGAGATTATGACACCGCGGAAACTCCCGGGGTTTGGACGAGGCTCAGTCTCGGAGGACGGATTGGAGGGGAATTCAGGAGCCCGGGCCCCACCTTATGGCCGTGTCGGGTCGCCCCACAGCTCGGCGCACCCCCGGGAGCAAAAACTGGAGCCTCTGCGGGGACTGATGAGCTGTCTGTCAAGCGGCCTGGGCCCAGCTCCCCAGCGCTCGGGTTGCAGCCTCCCCCGCCGTCCCCCCACCGCCACTGCCCAGCCCACCGGTGCATTAAAGATTTAAACCGAAACCACTTTGCTGCCCTCCTGACTTTGTCGCCTTTGCTGCTGTTCTCCATACCAGCTATTTACTTACTGACCGAACATCCCTCCCCGCACCTGATAGGGTGCCCTTCCACCGTTATCCCTAAGGGTCTCTCACCGGGATCACACCTCCCATTATTATTCGTGATTGCCCTCCACTCTGTTCCCCCACCCCTCATACACACAAATCCATCACTGTGACTTGCCTAAGGGAGAAAATTAAATAGTCCTAGTCTCGTCAACCATCCCAACATTATCCCTAAATTGATGTATTCACATCCCCATTTTTGCTACAGCCTTCCTCCTAATCAGGACTTCCAATCAACTTTTCCTAGGAGTGGATCTAAAAGATTTTAAACCCAGAGTTGTAAGAAATAAGTTGTGAGAGGAGGGAACAATTTCTATACGCCATCTTCCTTTGTCTGCCACAGGGGAGTGACTTGGAAGTGTTGGCAGACTTTCTTACAGGTAATACCCCAACTTCCAGCTTCTCCAGTCAGATCTCTGGAATTGAGAGATACCTGACATTCTATCTTGTAGTTCTTACTTCCGCAGGAGAACCCAAGGGCCAGTACTCCCTGCCACTGCCTTCTCTCTTGGCTTGAGAATCAAAGACTACTGGGTGGTTCTGATTTCTGTTAGGGACTGGCCACTGCATCAGAAAGGATACCAAAGGATTAAAGACACACCCTGTGTATTGGGGGAGGTGGGGAAGGAGTCAGGATGCGAAAGTATCAGCCTGGTTTTGCCTCTACTATAGCAGGTTGTGGCTATAGAGAAGAGTTAGCCCTATATTTGGAGAAACCAAAGGGAGAAAATGGATGCATGCTCAGATGAATTTATTTCTTGCCTTCCTAGGTCTCTGGACTGAAAGTCCAGGAAAGACCACAGAGTATATGGCAAACAGAGCCAGCTAATGGAGAAGACCTGTGATAAGATGATGGTACCTCAATGGCTATATCCAAGCTCTGAGACAAAAGTCCAGACTGGAGGGTGGAAGAGAGAATCTATCTATGGTCTCTGGTACTAGAAGTTCATGTACTCCTTGAACTTTTTGACCCCTACATCCAGATGTCAAGTAGAGTGACCTCTGGGTATGACCACTTTCATGAAATGACCCAGGCTCTTGGCCATTTCCTCACAATGCCTACCTCAAGAACCCTTTCAAAAATAGAGTGCCCTGTCCAGTCCTAGGCTACACCTCACCAGGACAATGTCAGAAGAACTAGCTATCCACAAGATAAAATCTAGGAAAGGGTCTTCAACCTCACCCTGAACAGGAGAGGGAGAATTCAAGCTGTTCAGCCTGGGAGGGTGACTAGTTCCTACTCTAGGAGCTAACGTCCCCCCTGACTGTCACAACAGCCCTGAAGCAGAAAGATGCCCAGGGAGGTATGAATCCCTGACCCAAGAGCAGCCCTGCACCATAGGGGTAGTGGCCCAAAGAGCAGAAGGCTTCAAAGGTACCCCTGCAACAAGATAAAGGCTGGATTACTGGGTTATGACTCAGTTTATGTTTCAAGTACCAAGCAGGATTGGAGGGCTGAAATCTCCAGATCAGAAGTAAGAGATTCTTCAAGGTCCCAGAGGATCTAAATTTAGCAGCTTGCCCCCACCATAGGCAGTCCCCAGCTTTCTGGAAAGGACTGAGGTGAAGGAGGAATTGTAACTTTCAGGGAGAAGGGAAACAAATGCTTGATATGGAATTAGGATGGAAGGGACAGGAAAGAGATGGGAGGATGGGGCTTTAGCAGAGGGCACAAGGGTTGTTGATGTGGGTGGGAAGGAGGGATGTTCCTCTAGTCCCACAGTAGAAAGAAGCTAGAATTTTATTAGAACAAAAGAGGGGCAGGCCCTCCCTGGTAGAGCAGCGGGTTAAAGCACAGCACTGAGAATCTAAAGCCGCTTCCACATGAGTTCGATTCCCGCCTGCCCCGGAGGTGACCACATGGCGTGGCAGACCTCTCCTGACCCGCCCGCTGCTCCCCTCAGCAGTGTACTTCGTGGATCTGCCTGTTCTGCTCCCCACTCTGTCTCTGGTGAAGCCTCTTGCCGCCCCTTAGCCTCTGGCCTGTACCCCAGTTCTGTACGCACAAATAAATAAAAATCTTTAAAAAAAAAAAAGAGGGGCAATTGAGTTGTAGAGTCTTATGTCTCTAATAAACCAGTAATTGAGTCTGGGAGCCCTAGACCCCTGCTGGCAAGAGGCTGACATTCCTGGGACAGGACTAGGCAATAACAGGAAGATAAGATTTGTCTTTTACCTGTTGACAGTAGTAACTGGCACTAAGGAATTTTACCTTTCTTCACTTGGCCTCCATCTGGCTTCTTCCTTGTTTCATCTTCCTGGGGAAAGTAGCCCCTACCCCCAAGTCACCCATACAATACCACTAACTTCTCACTCAATGCTGCCAGCCCCAGCCAAGGTCCCAGCCAAAATTTGTCAGCCAGCGGGCCTATGTTTGGGACCCATTCCCATCAATTTCTCCTGATAAGGTAGGCAGGCTAGAGCAAGAGTTGGGGAGAAAACATGAATGCAAGTTGATGCTGGCCTGCCCTCTACTCCCACTCACCCTTACCACCCCTATAGAATCTGTACTAATATGGTTGTGTGAAGATGGTTGTGAAAACACAAATGAGCGGGAGTAGGACTTTGAGTGTACTGGATTTGTATGATTCTGATGTGGTTGTCTGGCCATGTGAGGTTGAAGGCGTGACCAAGGTGTGACTATGAATGTGTAGCTATGGGTGTATGAGTGTGAACAGCCATGATTGGACACCACTGTGGATCCTTGCTGCCCTTACTCAGTCACTGTGCCATAAGTCCCCGCTGTGGCATCCCCAGCCCTCTTTGTTATAAGGGCTAAATCAAGCTAAAATGTAGAGGCGTACAGGGCGCCTCTCCCCAGGGCAAAAGTCCTGGTATGAAAAACATAACTGGGAAGCCAATACCTGCTGAAAACAGCAGGCAGACATTACGGCCAAGATCAGCTAGAATACCTTACTGGCAAAGATTAGCAGAAAGGTAAGAATAGGGATTAGAGGTAGTATGCTTTGATTATCAAGAACTGTGGAGCCCCCCAAGCTCCTGGTCTCCCCAGCCTGGCTTGCACCAGATGTGTCCCTCCACACATGTACATTCCTCCATGTACTTGGCCATCTTCTCTGAGCCTGGTTCTAAATAAATATGAGACTGTCCATAGACTGGGGCTGTATTTTCTAAGTGTAAGCCTCTCTCACTTGGATTTTAAGTTGTCTTTCCTTCATCCCACTCCACTTCTAATGCTGCCTCCCCGCGAGGCGACACCCAATGCCCTAGCCCTCTTTTCAGATTCTCTGGCAGCCCAAGGGAAATGGCAGTCCTAGAAGAAGGGCACTGTGGATTGTGGCAATTAGGACCCAGGAATGCCACAGGATGAGCAACATCTGCATCTTCACCTGCCTCTGACTCACCCTGTGCCCCAGGGAACAGACATCTAGATAAAAGGTAGGAGAGAGGGAGGGAGCATCCAGCTGAGCATTATGAAGGGGCTGTCACCTACCAACAGCCTCCTGCTGCTACTGTTGCTCCTGAACCCAGACCATGGAGAAGGTGAGTGCTTGGGGGTCTAGAAGGCAAGGGTCTGGATGAATGGGATGGAGGGGCTCAAGAAGCCTAGCCTCCAGCTGGAGGGGTTCTGATGGCCAGATTTTAGATGAAAGCCTGGGAACACATGGTCCCTTTGTCTCCTAGAATTGCCACTGCCTTCCAGCACTAACTGCTGCACTCAGCTCTACCGACAGCCTCTGCCAAATAAGCTACTGAGGAAAGTAATCCAGGTGGAAATGCAAGAGGCTAATGGGGATTGTCACCTTCAGGCCTTTGTGTGAGTGCTAACCCTGGCCCTGACACCAATCACAGCCCCAACTACTGATGCTGATCCCAACCTCAGGCCCCAGCTGCAGTTCTGATGCCACTCAGGTTTTCACCTGTTTTTGCCCTTAATTCTGGACCCCAACCTCATCTGCAAGCTACGACCATGACTTTGAACCCTTTCTTTCCCAGACTTCACCTGTCTCGACGCAGCGTCTGCATCCACCCCCAGAACCGCAGTTTAGCCCGGTGGTTTGAGCGCCAAGGGAAGAGGTTCCAGAGGAATCTGCCCATATGAATTTTTCACTGGAAAGGAAAATGGGGTGGGGCCCTCAAGAACCAAAACAATAAAATAGCATTGTAGATAGTCTCTGAGCGTGGTCTCCAAGTTCTATACCTTGAATCTGAAGCTTAGAGACATGACAATAAAATTCTCTTTATTCACATCTCCACAACCCCCACTAGGGGCAAAGCCAAGAGCCAAGGAGCCACACATACTCCCCATACAACTACAAATACACAGGCATGCAGTAAACACACATTCCCTGCTTTATCTACATGTAGTCACGCATGAACACAGACATACACACCTACACACATTCTTCAGGGATCTCCAGCTCTAGGATGAAATCAGAGGCTCTGGCACCGTTTAGCTGGCAAGTTTAAAACACAAGACTCATAGAAATGGGCTCCAAACAGAACATCAAGCTGAGATACCCCTCCATGAGGATATACTGTCCTGCCTGGTTCTAGTTGTCCATCCATCCACACCAGAAAGACAGTGTTATAGGTGCAATCAACTGAAGACTTGCTGCTCCTCTACAGGTTTGGTGTTCCTAGAAACAGGAGGCAAATCAAGGAAGACAGTAAGACTGGATCTTGGCCCAGAATGATCTTGGCTATCATTCAAGACATCCAAGAATAAAGATGAATAGCCAGTTGAGTCTAGCATCCTCAAAACAAGGAAGGAGTCCATCTAAGAGCCCCAGTACCCTGCAAGCAAGAGTAGAAATCCAATTCTGAGGTCTGGGACTCAAAAATGAATGCTCGGTCCCTGAATACAGACATCAAAAGAATGAAGAGACCTCTTAACTCTTGATTCCCAACACCCTTGCAATGACTAGGGCACCTGGCTCTTAACTTAGACTCTCAAAATGAGGAGCTACAGCTCCAGGTCCAAACCTCCTGTAAGTCCTACTCACCTGGAAGCTTGTCCACTGCAATTATTGGGGCCAAGAACCCAGGCTTTTGGGGTTCATCCTTCTCTCTTGGTCTCAGCCTCAGCCTGGGACATAAAAAGGCAGCTGTCTCCCTAACAATGTAAACCATCTCAGTCCTCCAAAAGGGTTTATTAGTAAAGGGTGAGGAAAGGAATCAGTGAGAATCATGAACATAGGGGTGGAGCTGGGAGAAGTTCAGATTCAGACAGGTTCAGTGAGAAGTCTTGAGGGGTCGGGGTAGTTTATAGGTATCAGAGTAGGTAGAATCAGAGACTGAGGGACCAATGGCAGTCACTTACCAGAGCCCCAGTGCCAAAGCCCCAGCTGCCAGTCCCAAGAAAGAAAAGATTCCCAAAGACGCCAGCACAGCCACCTGCTCCAGGGGGTCCCTATGATCTGGGAGAAGGATGGAGAGAATGTCATAACATGCCACTGTGAGAGCAAATCTGGCCAAACCAGGCGACCCCTTCTGTCTGGGACTGTCTGTCTCCTACAACCTCTTCCCATCTACTCAAGCTCACCAAGAGGCCGAGGGTCTGGCTGCAGGGAGGGCCTTGGAGGAGTGGAACTATCCTCCTGTCCATCCACACCAGGCACCTCCTCCCGCTGTGTGTGTGGCTGGGCCCCAGCTGGTATGGACTTCGACTTCTGCAGGGGCCCTGAAGGGAGGTGACACCTGAGGAGATCTGTCAAAACAGCCGTGCAGGGAGGGGGCACTTGAAAAAGGCAGGGCCAGCTTCTGGGAATGCAGCAGGGGTCGAGGCTGAGAGGCAGGGCTTAAGTTAGATAAGGGGTGCAGGTAACCAAGGCTGAAGGTTGGACCGCAATGCCACACACCTGCACAGGCCAGGCCTGTGCCAGGCTGCCAGCTCTCGCCAACTCATCTAGCTGACGGATGCTGTGGGATGTAGCTCTGCCCTTTAGGTGATTCTCTTACCACTGCTGGGAGTCCCCCAGGCCTCGGGACTCCAGGCACTCCAAGTGCCAGCATCCAGAAAGTCCCGGGCGCTGACCCGCACTGCGTGGGGCAGGCCAGCCACAGCATCTGTGATCACCTCCTCCAATCCAGCTGGCTCCACCTGGCGGGGAACATGGTTTTCTTTGTTGCAAACTTGGAGCTTATTACCCTTCCTCCCAGTCAGCCTGGTAGAGCCAGGACCTCACATGTTGTGACTCACCAGGTCAAGTCTACACTTAGTGTTTGGAAGACAAACGGGCACAGTGGTTACTAGAATAGGCTGTGGTATCAGGCTGCCTGGGTTCCAGTCTTACTGCAGCATTTACTGGGTGACCTTGGGTCTCTCTGTGCCTAACTTTTTCATTTGTAAAATGGAGGTCAGGCCCTCCCCGGCTGGGTTGGAGTGCAGCACTGTGAAGCTATTATAGCCAGCAAAGCAGGAGTTCGATCCCCAGTCAGGGAGCTGACCCACATGATGTGGCAGACCTCTCCTGACCCACTTGCTGCTTCCCTTAGCAGTGTACTTCATCGATCTGCCTGTCCCGCTCCCTGCTCTGCCTCTGGTGAGTCCTCTCACCACGCCTACCCCTCTGACCTGTACCCCAGTTCTATATGCATAAATAAATAAATATTTAAAAAAATTAAATGGAGGTGAGTACACTTAAGTGAGATAATCCTGTAAAATAGCTTAACAAGGGCCCTGGCAGGCAGGCAGCACTCAACAGATACTGGTTATTATCTAAGGAGGCAGCTCCCCAAGAGCTGATGCCAGCCAATCTTTGACATTTCCAGATATGGAAATTCACTACTAGCCTCACTGGATATATAAGTGTTTGATGAGGATGTGCCTCTGGGTGAAAAGCACTCCTTCTCCTAGAAAAGTTATTTTTAAGAAGTTGCTGCTGATTTCCCATAGACGGGCTTACATCAGAGTCACAGCCCTGAAGGGCAAAGGCTGATCTGTTGGTCCCCACTGCCACCCAGCACCAAGCCTGGCCCATGGAAAGCACTCTGTCAGGGAAGGAAACAGGGCTTTGGTGACCTGCCGGTGCTGGAAAGCCACACAGAACATCCAGGAACATGAAACCAGAGACAAGACCCACAGCCCCAGATGAGGACACACTCCAGGTCTCACCGTGGACCAGGCTGGATGCTGTGCTGGACGGTACTGCAGCCGAAACTTGAGCAGGAAGTGGGGCTGCCGGGGCCAGGAGGCAGGGTACATCCAGCTGGCACGCAGACGTCGGGGATAACCAGGTACTGACTCTACCTGCAGTCCCTGGGGTGGGTCAGGGCGCACTGAAGCAGTGGAGACACAAGTCAGGGCAAGTGACAGGTACCCATCCCTTACCCAGAACTTCCCAAGGGGAGATGAGTGTGTGCCTAATGGCATCGGAATGAAGCACTTCCAAGGGGACTGGGGAAACCTTCAGCTTGATCATCTACTAGCCTAAAGAATTGTCATGCACATTATAAAATGAGATGAGATCTGGAGACAGGTTTTTTAAATGTTTGTTGAGTGAATAAAAGAGTGATTCTTCTTTCCATTCAAGGAAGAATATGGATCAACCCAAATTCCAGAAGAGCTTTAATGTAACCATTCCACACAGAGAAAGAATATGAAATATGGTGGCCTTCACCACAGGGTCTAGAAGCAGAGAGGCATTTCCTGGAGCAGGCAGCCAGGAAAGACTTCTGGGATGGCTCCAGTGACAGCAGCCTCTAGGGAGTGTGTGCAGAGGTAACCCTGCCTCCTGGGCTCAGATCTCTTTAACTCCCCAGTCTCCATGTGGGCCATCTGTGTGATGAAAGGGGTCTTTACTGGAAGGAAACTGGGAGCTCTGGGAGGAGAGTTCTGTATTGGGATAGCTGTACTCTGGAGTTTACTTGGAGTCTCTATGGTGAGGAAGTAGAGGGCTTCTAGGGATGATACTCACATATGCTCTGCAAGCTCACATCCAGCAAGCGTGTGCTAGCGCCCAGGGGGTTCACCTCAGTCACATTGATCCGGTACTGGCTCCAGAACTCTGCACCATGGACCACACAGCGGGCAGCCCCCGGGGGTTCCTGTGGGCATGGCCAAGGTCCTGTGGATAGACTCAGCCTAGAAGGGAGGATGTGGTCTTAGACTTTGGAAATGCTTATTGCAGTATCTAGCTAGAGCTCCCAGCCTCTCCTTCATGTCCTACCTTTCACCATCAGCTCCTGGCACCGTCTTCTTCCTGGCAGGAAGGGGACCATCTGAGGTCAGGAAACAAAAGAGGTTCCTCTCCCCCTCTCTGGGGCCTTCCTTGGGACCTCCATCCCTGCCCCCCATACCCACATTGTGCCAACACACCCAAATGTAGAGGTGTACACACCCGATCATGCACACACCTGTAGGAGGTGAGGTAGCGGGTAGGTAAACCGCTAACCTGACTTGGACTCCAAGTGCAGGAGAAGTTCTCATAGTCAGCTGCTTGACAGGAGACGACAGGGCGGGCTGGAGGGTCTAGAGACAGAGGGGACAGCTGAAGTCTATCCCAGAGAGCTACTCAGGGAATTCCTGAATTCCCTCAGGAATCCTGTATTTCATCGCTGCCACCCAAAACTCCCTCCCCAACTCACAGCCCAGATGAAGGGTCACCATGCCCCCAAGTGCACCATCCAGGGTCCGACAGATGTAGGTGCCCTCGTCGGTGCTATCTGCCTGGGCCAGGACTAGTTCATGCCCTAATCCAGAGTCAGGTCCCTGGAGCAATCTCGACTCACCATCCCGAAACCAGGACACTGGGACCCTGAGGAAGTGATGACAGACAGAGGGAAGATTTAAAGCACAAGTCAGATGAAGCCACAGGTCCCATTGGCTTCTTGAAAGAAAACCCAAACTCTTTTTAACTCACTTAATCAGCCCCTGGTGATCCAGCCCATACATTCCTTCCTACCTCTCCCCAGCTCCCCTACTGCACTGATCTGTGGTCTTTCTGTTCTATAGTGTGTCACTCAGGCCCACGTCAGGCACATGCACTAGCTGTCCCTCTGTCAAGAATACGTATGCCCCTGCCAGACATGGCTGCCTCCTCCCTCCCTTCAGAAATCAACTTCAGTGCCACCTCTGCAAAGACACCTGCCCTGATTACCAATAAAAATTAACTATTCTGTTAAGCTCTCCTCCATCACTCTCTCTTGATTTTTTGCCCTCAGGTATTACTACCTGGCAAGGTTCTTGTTTGCTTATTGTCTGTCTACCCCACTAGGAAGCAAGTTCTGCATCCCAGGCCCAGAACAGGGCAGTTACTTAGAAGGTGCTCAATATCTGTTCATTGAAATTTTCTGTTGATTAAGGACCATTTTGGGGCTAGAAACAGATGGAGGTACAGGGGTGTGAGGACTGGGCAGGGCCAAGAAAAGGTCACAAGGGCCCTCTCTGGTGGCCAAACGTGTTGAAGTGCAGCACTATGAAGCGATCAGCAGCTGGCTGCTGCAGCAGAGTTCAATTCCCTGCCGCCCACCCGCCGTGGGGGCTGACCCACATGGCACAACAGGATCCTGCTCAGCCTGCCCGCTGCTCCCTTCAGCAGTGTGTTTCAGTCCATTTGCCTGTTCTGCTCCCCATTCTGTCTCTGGTGAATCCTCTCAGCCCTTGCATCTCTGGCCTGTACCCCAGTTCTGTATGCATAAATAAATCAATCTTAAAAAGAGAGAGAGAGAGACAGGGACACAGGGTCAGGGCAGAGGGGCACTTACCCAGCAGTCACTCCAGGGCAACACAAAGTCATGGACCTGCCAGGCTGCCCATACTGGACTCCTGTGGAGGACAAATCTGAGGACTCTTCCCTTTCCCTCTCTCGTACCCTCCCCTACCGGACCCTCCACTTTATGAGAGTGACAGGGTTATGAGCAAACTTTTAAGCCACAGGTGGGGCCATTTGATCAAACCGTCATTTCTAATTTGAATGAGGTAGAGGTCAGAAGACAGGGTAGAAGGGGAATGCTGCCAGGCTGGATGTCAGGTGTTGGAATTACAGTTTAGGCTTGGAAAGAAGCCACAGTAAAGGCAGCAAGCCACAAGTCAGAGCTGGGGTCATAGAATAGGGTTCTTCTCACCTGGGGGGCCCCAGGCCTGGGGGCAGGGGGAAGAGGCAGACACCAGAGCTGTAGCCACGGCCACCAGGACCCTGCTCAGCCCTGAGCAACTGCTGCTCATCTGTGTGGAGAGAGGCAAGGTTATGATCCCCCGCGCCTTAGAGGGAAGGCTATAGCCTGCTTCCTCCTTTCCTTCTTTTCCCAAACTGATGTTCTGGGGAAAAAAACTGAGGGACCAAGTTGAAGGATACCAGAAATCATTGGGGGATCTGATCTAAGTGTGTACACACACACACATCCTCCCTCCATCTCAGTCCTGGGCTTAGGGCCCAGAACAAAAGCCGGAGGCAACAGACGGTGCCAACACCACCACCCTTGGCGCCCACCCCTGGCACCAACAGCTGGCACTGGCTCAATCACTCCTATCAACTCCTCCAATCCAGCTGTTGGGGGTTCTGGTGTCCACCCCACCTGACCCAGGGCTAATCATTGCTTCTGACTGACACAAGGCAGCGTCTTCACCCTGGAGCAGGAGTCTGTTATTGGTGGGTCTGAACCCATCCTGTACTCCTGCCATGAGACCTGGCTGCCAAGCCCTTTTCCTCTGGGCCAGCTCCTTGTTCTGGCTACTTGGGCCACTCATTGGGCCTGACTCTGGAATCTTGTTGGTCCCAAGCCTGAGAGCCTGGATAGGGCTAGGGTGCAGGCTGAGGCTGCAGAGTTAAGCAGATCCAGATGCCCTGGCTGCTGCCAAAGGCTGGGGGCGGGCGAGGAGCCAGCAGATGGAGACAGGGTGGCGGGGAGGGGAGAGGAGACTGAGAAGAGCAGGGCGCCTGCAGGGATAGGGCCCTGGGGTAGGGGCCACATGCCTGAGAGATGCTCACAAATCAGGACTGGGAGGCAGTGGGGGTTCACAGAGGCACAGGCTGGGCTGAGGCAGCAGGAACTCAGAAAGGCTGAGAAAGAGGTAAGCAACAGTGTGTTATGGGGGTTGGGGTGCTAGGAAAGAGAAATTCTAGATGGGGAAGGGAAAAGCCAGCGGAGAAAAGCAAGGGAGAAATAAGCATGAGGACAGGAGAAGGGGAGATGGGAGATGGGAGCAGGCCTGATGAGAATTCCCGAAGAGAAAGTGCATTGACCCTTCCCCAGTAGGGCAGACAGTGGCTTCCACGTGTCTGTGTGTCTGTCTGTGTTTGCGGCTCACCCCTGTGCCCTGAACTACATGTACCCTGCTCAGCCCCACCCTACCTCGGTGATCCCAGTGGCTGAATGTCCATGGCCTCCAGGACTTCCTCCCACCAGCTACAGCACCGTCTCAGCTCCACTCAGTTCTGGGACCCCAGAACTGTCTGGCTTCCCCTTCCCTGCCCCCGCCCCTCTGGGCCCTGGAGCTCAGCCACCCCTAGCCAGGCCCCCTCCCCCCTCCTTCCTCCTCCCTCCTCTCTTCCCACCCTCCTCCAACCCGAGGCCAGGGTAAGAGAAGAGGCCTCCCCCCAGTCTGGAAAGAAAGCCACAGGCACAGTTAGGGCCAGAGGAGGGAGAGGAGGTTGCTTATGTCGCTGTCAGTAAGAGATTCCCTGCGTTTTCACACAGCCAAACAGCCACATTCACGCATGGATTCACTAAGCAGAGTCAACAAAAAGACACGCCCTGAACACACGTGGACACAATCAAATAAAAAAATCAGACACATATTCAGGCTCCCACTCTTTTCACTCTCCAGCAAACATTTCCTTAGGGCACAGCTGCCTGTGTTTTGAGGGGAAGGGAGGCCCCAGGTTGGGGGAAGGGGATATAAAGAAAAGGCGGAGAATCTAGCTCCCCTTCCCCTGGATGTTCCAGTCCTTTCTTACCTCTTCTCCTCTTCCCCCTCCACTCTTTGGGCCCCAGCACCAGGAAATGCCTTTGGTCCCTGGTGCCAGATATACAGGACTCACTCACCCTTAGACCTGCATTCTCAGATACAGTCACTCATAGTCATACCAACACACTCAGAATCCCCACTCAGATTCAGACACTTATACATACATATAACCATACACTCAAACTGACACACTTCTGCTCCCTTACACTGCCACACACACAGGATTTTGCTTCTGGCATGGGGACACAGCACTTCCCAAAAGCAATGCCTTCTGGTGGTTTAAGCCCCCTCTTCCAGGGAGCTCTCAGCAATGGCAGATCTGCAGCTCATCATGGTTCCAGACACCCAGGTAGCCAAGAGGAAGATAGACAGGGAAGCCAGGTACAGGCCACAGAGAGCGACAGAGATGCAGAGACCCAGGAGTACCAGAACTAAAAGGCAGATGCATTGAGAAACCCAGCGAGACAAAACTGTGGTGAGACAGAGATAACTCTGGGAAGATAGCAGGAGGCTGAGAAAAAGAAATAGAAAGAAACTGAGTCAAGGAACTAGAGAAGAGGGAAGAGTAGGCCAGTGACAGGGATTCTTGGACACAAAAAGGAGGGGAAGCATGTGCTGGGGATGGATCTGTTAACATTGGACACTAAATAGAAATGTCAGTCCCGCTGGCTGTTGAAATGAGTCCCCAAGAAAGGAAAAACAGCTTGACTCCCAGAGTCTAACAGTGAGGATACAGGATACACACACAGTTCAAGCTCACTCTTGCTCTGCTATTGCTGAAGTCACATACTGGCACACACCAACCCAACCACCCACTCTCACACTGGCAGACACTGTCTGAAACCCCACAGAGACCTTCCCAAAACACATTCCCTGATGTGGTCACAGCCCTCTCACATACACAAACACATAACCAGCCTCTCACCAAAAACTGCGCATGGACAGATACACACATAATCTCACACTGTGCAGCCACACACAGAGCAGTCACATTAGCTGACAGTTGCACTGAGTGACACTCGGAGTCTCACACCCTGACATGGTCATACACAGCTCCACAGGCACACATACTGACAGCCGGCCAACCACTCTGAGCCCTACAGCTCATTTACCCCCTGCCCCGCCTCCTCCTGGCAAGGCTTCCTCCTGTACACCCGTCAGACCCACCAGGCCTCACCTTCTGCGGCTGCCGCCGCCAGCGCCCTCTGCCCTCGCCCTCTGCCCCTGGCCTCAACTCCCTCCCGCCCTGGGGCCCCGCATTTGGGGCGGCTCCACCCAAGCACCAATGGAAGGAGAGGGGTGATGGGGGGGGGGGTTCTCGGCCCATTGGAGCCTCCAACTGCCAATCACCCCCCTCCACCCCCACCTCTGCCGGACACTTCCTGTCCTGTCCGGGCTGAGGAGCCTGCAGGGGATAGAGTCTGAAGCTGGATTCCTGGGTCCTTCACTGAAGGCTTGTCCTCCCGAGACCATAAGATTAGATGTTTTTCAGATCTCTTATTCCTCCTGGCTGTCTGAAAATAAAGTCACAATTTCAGTGGCTCAGGAGGCACTGGGCAGGTGACTGGAGAAGCTGAAGGTGCCCCGACTCCAGATAAGATAAAGGACTCTGGTGTAAGGCATTTGCCCTCAAACTTTGCTGGGCATGGTAGTTTTAAAGCTGCCAGGCTGTTGTCTATACCAATTAAATCAAAATCTCTGGAGGATGCCCCTAAGTATCAGTATCGTTTAAAAGTCCCAGATGTTTGGAAAATATAGCTAATCAAAGGTCTAGGGTGAGGTGTGTATGCATGTTCCTATGTATCTGTCTCAAGAAATTAGCCACTCATTCAGGGCTCTCGTCCACTCTCTAGCCACTGTGGGCTCCCACGAGGTGTGTATCGTGTCTGTCTGTGCTTCCAGTCTAGGTCAACACTCCAAGACCCAGGCCATTCTCCAGGGTCTCAAGGCAGAGCCCTGGACAGGAAAGTAGGCAACCGGGTTCTCCTGGGCCAGATCGTCACCGCCCAGCCTGGCATGATTTTCCTTCCCAGAGACTTGGTTCCCTTGATAGAGGGTGGAGACAAAAAGCATCCTGGTCATGCCTGCATTGCTCACCAGCCTTGTCACAAACCCAAACCTAAAAATTTGACGCCAGGCAGTTATCAGGTCTCCTGGACCGTGTGATCTTGTTCCTGCACTCAGTCTTGCCAGGGAAATATTTAGAGGGAAGGAGGTAGACCCAGGGTCACCCCAAGAACCACCCACGGAGGCTCCTAACTTGGCAGTCCCTTTCCTAGCGGTGCTGTTTCTGTCCCACACAGTGATGGGGCCACAGGGGCACCAGAGGTGTGCAGAGCCTGCACTTGCAGGACACATGTGGGAGTTGGAACAGCCAAAGACACAAAGCCATGTACACGTTCCCCACCCGCCCTTCAGCCCCTGTGGGCTGGAACACAGCCAAGCTGCAGCCACTCACAAAGCCAGGGATCTGGCCAGGGGCCCAGGGTCTGGCCACTGACCATTGAGACCAGGAACCTATTCACCCGCTGCCCAGACTTGGTGAATTGATACCCTAGGAGTAGTGGTAAAAAGCTGTGGTCTTCCCAAAGTCTCAGTCACAGTCAAGAATATAGGATTTGGGGGCCTCCCTGGTATCCTAGGGGTTAAATCTCAGCACTATCACTGCAACAGCCAGAGTTCAATCCCCAGCCAGGGAGCTAACAGACCTCTCCTGTTTCATTGGCTGCTCCCCTTAGTATACTTCAGTGAATCTACCTGCTCTGCTCCCCACTCTGTCTTCGGTGAATCCTCTCACTCCCCTCACTTCTGGCCTATACTCCAGGTTTTCTACATAAAAACAAATAAGTCTTTTTTTTGTTAAGATTTTTTAATTTATTTATGCATATAAGAATGGAGGTACAGGCCTAAGGTGCAGAGGATGAGAGGATTTCCCAGAGACAGAATGGTGAGCAGAATAGGCAGACTTCCTGAAATACTGATGAAGGGAACAGCGGGCAAGACAGGAGAGAGGTCTGCTGCGCCATGTGGGTCACCTTCCTGGCTGGGATTGAACTCATGCTGAAGTGGCTGGGATAGCCTGATAGCCCTGAGAATTTAACTACTGCATCACCAGGGAGACACCAATAAATTAAATCTAAAAAAAAATCAGAATTTTAAAATAATTTCTTAAACTTGGATACCTTCTGTTACTCCAGAAGTAAGAATCTTTAGCCCAGGCATAACACCATTTGTTCAGATTTGGAGTAAAATCTTTGTATCCCTGGGTTTTTGCACATCTTCAGGCAAAAGCAAGTCATGGTTGGAACTGTTCTTTGAGTCTTTAATCCCAGACCCCCAAAGGTTAGAGTTCACATTCCTCTGGTGTTAGAACATGTGATTAAAGTTTGAAAAGCACACTTTTATTGACCCCACATCTGCCCAAATCCTAGTCCCTGATTCCCCCAGGCAGACGGGCCTGTGGTTAGTGTGGTCAGGCGATGACTGCTGTCTCCCTCTCGGTCTGTCCCAGGCTGTAATGAACCTCAGGAAGTGCCCTTAGTCTCTCCGCAGCCTAGAAAAGGAAGAAGGGCCAATCAGAGAGGATAAGAGCCACCCAGAATAGTGTTTTTGAGTGTCCAGAAGACATCAGGGTAAGGCTGCAGGACCAGGAAGCAGATGGTAAGGATTGCTGGAATCACCAGAGAATGAAGTTGTATAGCCCCTGCATCTCTAAGAATGCCCAGGTTATAGCAGTTCTCACAGGTTATGATTACTGAGATGCCTTAAAGAATACGAAGAGGAAAGGAGACCTGAGGATCCAGGGTGCCCTGAGTCCTGACCTGCTCGGGGGTGAGGTCTCTCTGAGCCTGGGCAAGCATTTCATAGCCAACCATGAATTTGCGGACAGTGGCAGAGCGTAGGAGTGGAGGGTAGTAATGAGCATGAAGCTGCCAGTGGTCCCAGTTGGTGTCCGCCTTTGATGCTGTGGGAGCCCCTGAAAGGAAGAAGGCAGAGATGGCAGGGAAGAGCACTTTTTAATTCTTCAGCCTAGTTCTCACCCCCAAACCAGGCTAGGTGCCTGAAATCTACATCTTTCAGCATTCCCTGCCATGTGAACTAACCCAGGAAAGGACACTGGGAGGCATAGTTTCACCAGGTTCATTTTTCTACCCTCAGGCCCAGCATCCCTGCTCTGGAGATTTTCCCCCAGCAAGTTTTTCATGACTTGCAGTCCACTGGGGTGGGTCCCTGAGGGTCAGAAATAGTGTTGGGGCCAGAAATGAGTGCGCAAAAAGTCTCACCGTGCCAGCCCATGGAGTAGGGAAAGGAAGTCTCAAATAGGTTGTCATACTTGGTCAAGAGCTTCTTCATAACAGAGGCTAGATCTGGAATCAGAAACTGACTCTTAGCTTGGGGCACAGAGGCTGGCCCTGCCAGGGTCATCCCCATCCAGAACCAGTCCCAGGGTCCCAGTTGAGAGACTACCATCACGCTCAGCAGCAGTCAGCTCAGGCAGACGTCGCACATGCCGACGAGGCAGCAGCAGTGTCTGAAAAGGCCACACTGCCCAGAAGGGGACCAGCACCAACCAGTGCTCACTGGTTAGGACCAGACGTTCCTGGACAGATCCAGTGGTGATGAGGTCATCAAGGTGGGTGTGGAGGTAAACAAAGAGGCAGGGAGAGAAGAAAAAATGTACCTAGACTCTCATAGCCTTCTACCACCTCCACCAGTATCAGCCTAGTCCAAAGCACTACCATCTCTGCTTTATTAGATTATTGCTATGGCCTCCTAGCAAATCTCTCTACAACTTTTCTTTTACCCTTTCCCTTCATACACCTCTCTCTTTTAGGGTGAGGTTAAGGGCTCCTTAGGGTCACCCACCTTCCTAAGCAGCTCCTGGCGGCCATATTCCACGAGCAAGGGCTCTCCATGTTGACTCTGATAGGCTCCCTGAGATCGCTCTTCACGCTGGACAATATCTGGCAGGAAACTGCTAGCCCACACCTATCAAGGAGTAAGAATAGAGAACATCAGGCAGATCCTTCACCCCCAACCCTCCATTATACTAGCATACTTCTCTGGCCCACCTTTATTCCACTTCCCCTCACTACAGTGTTAGCCTAGACTCAGCCCCAAAATCCACTAGAGGCCCTAACACATTTACCTGGCAGTGGGGGTGGGGGTTGGAACAGCCCATCATGGCTCCTTTGTTCTCAAAGATCTATCAATTAGGGGTAGGGCACTTTAGTAACCAAAAAGACACCAAGTTAACCTCTCCTGTAGTAATAGGAATGCCACCCCCCAGAACCAAAGCTGTACCACCCCTTCCCTGCCCAACTGGGAAACGGGGCCACCTCACAGACCTGTACCCAAGGGTACTGGGCACCCAACTCTTCTGTGACTGAGGCCCATGCATCGACAACAGCCCGGATCTCAGGGACTGACATGAGTGGCAGCGTCACATCCGACCAGGGGTGGAAGCACATGACCTTACTAAGTGGTGAGGGAGGGGAGGAGGGAGGTATGAGGATTAGGACTTGACTGTACTAGGGGCAGGGCCCATCACCAGTTCTCAGTCCAGGCCCTGTTTTAAAAAGTAAACTCCATAGTTACCAAACTCCACGAGCAGGCTCTGCTTGGAAAAGAGGGTGATCGCTGGGACCTGAGATAAAAGGGAATTATTATCTGCAATAGAGGTCCCCCAAAGGGGGCCCTCCCTGATGGCGCAACAGGTTAGAGCACAGATTGCACTGTGAAGCTATCTGCAGCCACTGCAGCATGAGTTGGATCCCCAGCCAGGGAGATGTGACCCACATGGTGTGGCAGAACTCTCATGTCTTGGCCGCTGCTCCCCTCAGCTGTGTACTTCAGTAGATCTGCTTGTTCTGTTCCCTACTCTGCCTCTGGTGAATCCTCTCAAACCCCACCCCCACCCCCACGTCTGGCCAGTGCCCCAGTTCTTGTATGCATAAATAAATCAATTTTTTTAAAAAGTCCCCCAAAGGCCCAACCTCTCCCCCCCCCACCTCCCCAACAGTGGCTACAGCAAGGTTACCTGGACTGGGCGCATCAGGCTGTAGCGCTGGGAAGTCATTGTCAAACAGAAAGGTGCCATCGTAGTGGGGGTTTACCTACTGACAAGAATGAGCTAGAAGCATTCACTGCCCAATACCTTAGTCATTAGCTGTGCTTCAAGGGCTGGACAGACTTTACCAGGTAGGGCAGGTCCACTCTAGGGCCAAAACAACTTGGTGGGGTATAACCCAAAAGGCAGTCCAATGGCCGGGTGGGTGGGGGCTGGCATTAAGAGGGAGCTACTCTCCCTGGTCCAGCTTGCAGATGTAGACTCTAACGGCTTACCTCTCCATTGGCCCGTGTGGCCCCGGGACACAGAGGATTGTGAGGATCATGGCGTGGCACCGTTTTCTGCAAGGAGGGTTCTACTTGCCCCTGCCAGGGTCTCTTCATGCGGTGAGCTGACACAAGCACCCACTCATCCTGCAACGGGTTGTAGCGGATATGCTGGTGCTCTAAGGGCAGAGAGTCGAGACAGGTCAGCAAATCTCTCTGGACTCCTCTCCCTTGGGTCTCCCCGCCTCCGCCAGGCCCAAGTTCGGAGGTGCTCTCGGCCCCTTCCTGCCCAGGAGTTAAAGGGCCCGACTAGGACATTCCCAGCACCATATATATGGCCGGCAGCTCCAACACCGGCGAGTCCCTCCGCCGCACGGGTGGGCGCGCCGACTTGGGTGTAGGAACGAGAACTTCCTAATGAATGGGAGGGCTCGGCTCCGCGTCCAAACCAGTCCCGAGGCCCAGCAGTTACCGCTTGCCCGGAAGGTTGTAGCCGTGGCGTCCGCCTCTGGCGCCGACTGGTGCGGCTCAGTGTCCGCTCCGCCGTGCGACATGAGGCCACAGAGGGGGAAGCGCCTGGAACGTAGGCTGCCACCGGGTGGGACAGTAGGGAATGCCGGCCCAGCAGCCAGCCGCCCCTCAGGCAGCCCTAGAGCTGCCCGCCCCAACCCCCTGATTGGCCAGCCGCCGCCGCGTGACTTCCCGGGGGCGGGTCAGCAGGCCATGGGGGCGGGGCTCAGGCAGCCTAGCACCCCAGGGCACCAACTTCTGGGTCCGGCTCCACCTAGGGCCAATCCGCTACTGGAAGCACCGCCCTAAAAACACCTTAGGGCAGTTTCCTGGGCTCCTGGACACTCACATGATTGCTTGGCTGCATTCATTCATTTGGTCATTCATGCAGCAGATATTTACTGAGTATCTACCAGGGCCAGGAACCTAGCGTCCTTGTGAGTCAAAGAGCTGCTCCTATGTGCACAAGGCAGGTATGGCCTCTACCCTCCCGGAGCTTTTATTCTAGGATACTTTTATTCTAGGATAGAGTGAAGGAATAACCCTAAATCCACAATCGCTTAACTGCTCAGCACCATGGTGGAGGTAAAGCAATCTTGGGGCAAGGTTTCGTCAGCTTCATCTGAGCTCTGTCCTCAGGCATTAGCTGTAAGAGTGAGTACTTCACCATAAGCAGACCCCTCCCACAGGCAGTAGAAAAAGATTTGAGAAAAAAGGCTAGGTAGATATAAAATCAATCTTTCTCTCCCTCCCTCTCTCTCTCCCTCACACACATACAAATACACACCAAACACAAGTGAAGTTAGTAGGTTAAGAGGGCTATGAAAAATCTGAAAATGTGTACTGAATATCAGACATTCCAGTCATCACCTGTATGAGGTTGGAATGACTTTTTTACATACCCCCTTCCTTTCTCCAATTTTCCCTTGTATCAAACCAAGTGAATGACAGAATTCAAAATAGGCCACTGGCATTTTAGAGAGCCATCCAAATACTGTCTCAATTACAGGGCCTCCCTAGTGGTGTAAGGGTTAAATCTCAGCCCTATCACCACTACAGTCTGAGTTTGATCAGCAGCTAGCTAAACCATATATGGTACAGAAGACCTCTTGGGTCTCACACCTTGCTCCCCTTAGCATTTTATTTCAGTAAATCCACCTATTCTACTCACCATCTTGTCTCTAGTGAATCCTCTTACCCCCATACCTCTGGCCTACATAGAAATTTTTTTATGCAAAAATATTAAATAAAATTTTAAAAATAAGTAAACTCCCTCCCCATCTCATAGTGAGGAAGATAGTCCTCAAGGTCATCCAAAGGATAAGAGGTCAAACTGAGATTTCAACCAAGTTTTCCAAGTTCTTCCTATTGCGCTGAAATGTCTCTGAAACTTCAGTGAGCTCCAAGACTAAAAGCTAGCAATGTAACAGGGTGATCCCCAGGAAAAGGGGAGGTTCCAGGCTCCCTACCCCATGCAGGAAAGGATAGAGTTGAAAACGGAGTAGAAGCTGGAAAGAAGACTGGAGAAGGAAGAATAGAAAGCAAGGAGACCTGGAGGAAGCAGATGAACCACAGATATGTGAAGAAGCTATACTTTGCTTCTTGGTCTTGGACTAGTTGAAACAGATGTGGGTGAGAGAGGTTAATGATAGAAGCTTTCATTTTGATTTTGTTCTTTTCCTTCCAGACTTGTCTGGCTATTTCTCCCCCTTTCCTATGGGTCCCCACCAGGAGGTGCCTTAGACTTCTGGCAGGCTCTGGGTCTCTGTGGCTCTGCTTTGGGCCAACCCTGTTTGGCTGGGCATTTACCCATGAGGGGACAGTTAACTTTGGTGCTTGATTTGAAAACTGTATTCTTTTCCTTCTTTTTATTACACACTAATTGTATTAAAGTTCCTTTCTGGGCCCTTCTTTTTATTACACACTAATTGTATTAAAGTTCCTTTCTGGGCCCTCCCTGGTGGAGCAATGGGTTAAAGCAGAGCTCTATGAACATAGCAATCTCCAGCCACTGCAGCACAAATTTGATTCCCAGCTGGAGAGCTGACCCATATGGCATGGCAGACTTCTCCTGATCCACCCCCTGCTCCCCTCAGCAGTGTGTTTCTATAGATCTGCCTGTTCTGCTCCCTACTCTGTCCTATACCCCAGTTCTTGTGTGCATAAATAAACAAATCTTTAAAAAAAAATTCCTTTCCATTGAAGGTCTTATTATGCACTGGAATATGTTTTGTCTTGATGCAGCATATGGCAGAACCTATTTAGAGTGGGCAGGCTTGGGGTGTTGGGGTACCCCTCGCCCTATCCTGTAATAGCGGGATAGTAGCTGGAAAACCCCGTCTTCCAAGCTGGGTCACAACACTTAGTGTTTTTAACACAGATGCAAAAACTGGATCACTGATCATTAACCTGGTCTCTGCCTTGAGGGCCTCAGACTGGAATCAGAGAAGGCTACTGGGTAGGGGGCAGAAGGAGGCAGGGAGCTGAGAACCTTTGTGTTACTATCCCATTTGCTATTCATAGTTGGGGATAGAACTGCTTTTCTTTTAAAAAAAAAAAAGATTTATTTTTATTTATTTATACATACAAGAACGGGGGTATAGGCCAGAGGTGCTGGGAGTGAGAGAATTCGCCAGAGACAGAATGGGGAGCATAAAATAGATCTACTAAAATATACTGCTGAGGGGAGCAGTGGGAAGACAGGAGAGATCTGCTACACCATATGGGTTAGGTCCCTGGCTGGGGTATTGAACTCATGCCACAGTGGCTGGTGATAGCTTGATAGCACTGAGACTTTAACTTCTTGTAACACCAGGGAGGCCCAAAAATCTGCTTTTCTATACTCATTATAGTCTTTATTGTTTGGGTGACTGGATTTTGGAGGTAGACCCATTTTCTCAAGAACACCCACCAAGATTTAAGTAGCACTTCCTGAATCATGAAACTAATTCCTTATCCCCTTGAGGAACATCTCCTCAGGAACATATCCTAACTTCTCTCTCTGTATCTCAAGTTTACTCTGTTGGGGAAAAGGAAAATGGCTGAGATGTGGCCTCTTTCCTTCAAGATCTCAGAGGTGTGATATCTGCTAAATTATCTAGAAATAATGTAGATGAGGGCAATGATCCTCAGTCCCCTTTATCCTGCTTCCTGGGGTCACAGGGCTTCTTAAGGTCATAGGACACTCTTCTTTTTTTTTAAACAAATGTGCACTGGTGAAGCTTTTTTGAAAGACACATTGGAGCCTAGATGGTACCAGCGGCCTCTGCCTAGAACAGGGGGCAGAAGACAGGTTGTTTCAGAAATTTCCAAGAGAAATCAGATGGCATTCAGAGAGGTGGATCGATACCAAAAGACAAGTCCTTAATTACAGAAATGCTAAGGTCTTATACAGGTTGTATGAGGAATCTTCATCCCAGTCATAGCATAAGCACTCTTTATTGTTTGAGAAGGGAGTCAATGTTGCCATAGCTACTACTGTGGATAAGCAGTATACAGCAGGAACTTTCTGCTCTAGCGAGCAGCAGAATCCAAGCAACAGACTCCCCTAAGGAGCAGGCCTGGGAAAGTAGCTGAATCTAAGCAGCAGACTTAGATTCTAGGAAACTTTCTGCTTCAGGGTTTTTGGGCTAGTTCCTGTTACTCTAGATTCTTAAAGAACAGTTAGCTCAGGAAAGTCACAGAAGCCAGAGTCAATACAAAAATTTATTCCCTTGGCCCTGCATTCTCTTCTAGATAAGTCCCTCTTTATCTTTCCCTGCTTGGCCAAGTTTCTCAAAACACAGTCCATGTTCCCAGCCTTCATTCCCATTTGCACAGTACACTGTACATGTCTTTTTTCCCATATTAACCAAGGTAAATTGTCTTGGTTACTGTAACAACCCACCCCCAAAACTCAGGGGCTTAACACTAAAGTTCACTAGCTAGAAGGGGGGTGGGGGGAAGTATCTATCGCTGGAAGCATTCAGAATTCTCCACTAACTACTTAATTCTATGTAACTGATAAAGGGCAGCAAGGGGCATTAAAACTGGCCAAGGACATTGCACAAATAGTTTATCTGTCCACCATCTAAGTTCTTAATCCACATGCACAACTGCAAGACTACTCAGGTCCAGAGAACAACAATAATGGGATTTATTTAACAAACCAATGACAACAAAGGTGGGCACAATAGAGGAAGAAATCACTGACCCCATACTTGCTGAATATCAAAAAAGCACTGGATCTCAAACGCTGAATCCTGAATATGGAATCCTTGCAGATGCTTCTGCAATCCCTTATATTTTTTAATCTTCTGCAGTCCTTTGTATTTTTTAATCAGTCTCCACCCCAAAATGTGAGACTTCATTCTCATTTTCCCTGGGGCTATCCAGCCCCTTCAGCACCCCTCCCCTAAAGGGCATCACCTATAATAGTCTTTGCCTTCGTATAGGTTACACAATGATAAAAGAGGGAAACAGAAAATAGAAGTAATTTCACAGATAGCTTTAGAAACCAGACCTGGAGGTGGCATGCACTATTTATACCTACAGTTCATTGACCAGAACATAATCATGGTTTCATCTAACTAGATTGTGGGATGTAACTAGCTACTCAAAACAAAAGCAAAAGGATTTGTGAATATAAGGCATTATCTCTGCTACATGGTACTGCTGAGAAACTTAGTGGTTATTTCCCATCATTTTATTGGACCTGTCAATTGTATTTGACTGCTTGACCCTTCATTCCATCACTCTCATGTGTGAGACTACTCTTCCAGTTTTGTTCACCTTTACGTTTTATTTATATAACGAGCACATATGGCACCATGTGCCAGGCACTAATTGCTTCATAAATATTAAGTCATCCAGTTTTTATCACTGTGATGGTATGTACTACGAGGTAGGGACTTCTATATATCCCATTTTACATATGAGAAAACTGAGTCACAGAGCTCAAGTAACTTGACTAATGACACAACTAGTAGGTAGCCGGAGTCAGGTCTTTAACCCAGAGGTTCTTCATCTCTACAATATGCTGCCTCTTTTCTCTTTAGCTTCTCTTCCTTTTTGGTCTCTTTTCTCCCTGACTTTTCCTTAACTATCAGTGTTCTTTAGGACTCTGTCTCAATCTTATTTTACTCAATTCTCCTTAACTGTGACATTTTATCCACTCTTTGGTTTTAATTACCATCTTTAGAGTTCACCCCCAGTGAACTCTAAGCTGAGTGAGACCATGCTTACATTCCTCATGGCAATATTCCCAGTGGTCACCTCAGAACTTGGCACATACTGGTACTAACAAAGTACCTGTTGCCTGATGGAATGGCAACCCTTAGTTCTCTATATTAAGACCGGATCTGAACACTCAATTGTCCATTAGACATCAGCAGGAGTTTAGTCAAGTGAAGGGAAGTACCTGGCTTATCCAGCCTGTTTGTGTGTGTATGTATGTGTATTTTCTTAGAGATGGGGGTAACAGGTAGTTAGGATGGAGGGGAAGAGTATATCAGAAAAAACAAGTCCTGCCAACTATATTTTCTTTGTAGTTTTATTTAGGGCCCTCTCTGGTGGCACAGTGGGTTAAAGCCCAGCACTGCAAACTAGCCACAAAAAGACTTACTGGGGTGCCGACCAGAGCACAGGGGTGGTGAGAGGGTTCACCAGAGACAGAGTAGGAAGCAGAACAGGTAGATTAATGATGTACACTGCTGAGGGGAGCAGTGGCAGGTCAGGAGAGTTCTGTGGTGATCCAGCTGCCCCTAGCTTGCAGTGCTGCACTATAACCTGCGGCACCACCAGGGAGAGCCCCTCAACTATGTTTTCAGAGTACTTCTCAAGTTCTCTGTTTCAGAGTACTTCTCAAGTTTCCACTGACACAGACCTCCTGTCTCTTTCTTTTTTACTAGAACTAGGGTGTAGGCCAGAGGTGAGGAGCAGGAGAGTGAGAGGATTCAGCAGGGACAAAATGGGGAGCAGAACAGATGGGTTGACTGAAATAGAATGCTAAGCAGAGCAGTAGACAAGACAGGAGAGGTCTACTGTGCCATATATGGAATATATGGGTTAGTTACCTAGAAGGGATGGAACTCAGGGGTGCTGAGACTTAACCCCTAGGCCTCCTGTCTTTCTAACCTTAGTTTTGGTCTCTCATCTTGTTCCCCTCTATTTTGTGGCCCCTACTCACTCTGTAGTAAAATCTATCTCATCACTCCTGTTTGTTGCTAACTCTCAATAGGTTTAAAAGTACCTCTTCTCACATTTCACAACAAAGAGTGAATTGCAGGCCTCAGAAGAACCAATGCCGCCTCACTATTGGATAACACAGCTCCCGGAATGGGTCTCCAGCTGGAATCCCCTTTCCATATATATTTTTAAGATTTATTTATTTATGCACATAGAACTGGGGTACAGGCCAGAGGTGCTGGGATGGTCAGAGGATTCACCAGACAGTGGGGAGCAGAAAAGGCAGACTGACAGAAATACATTGCTGAGGGGGGCAGCGGACTGGCCGTGCCATGTGGGTTAGCCCCCTGTCGAACTTGTGCTGCGGTGGCTGCAATAGCCTTCATGGTGCTGTGCTTTAAGCCGCTGTGCCACCAGGCAGGGTAACCCTTTCCATATTTCTTAAAGATTGCGAGAGTGGGCCCCCTTGGTGGCGCAAGGGGGTAAAGCGCCGCACTATTAAGCTGTCACGCAGCCACTGCTGCTCGACTGTATCCCAATTCTTGTATGTATAAATAAATAAATCTTAAAAAAAAAATATTGCCGTCACCGCCTCCAGAAAGCCTTCCCAGAAAGCTCCCAGGTAGCGTACCCCTCCCAACTTCTGTGCTAGCAAAGACAGGCCTGTTTCCTGGCTCGCCAGCTTCACCAGTCCCGGGACCCAGGCGGGCGATCCTGTGCTTTCCCCGCCTTAGTCCCACCGCAGCCTCGCCGTAGGACCTCGCAGGGAAAGACCCAGCCCCAAAGCTCCTAGGCGGCCGGCTAGTTGGGTTGGCCCCGCCCTTTCACTGCGCGCTCGGCCCCGCCCCTTCGCCGCGCGTTCGGCCCCGCCCCACTCTCGGCGCTTCCCGCGAGAAAATGTTTCTAGCCGAGGGGCGGTGCCCGGCTGCCCCGAGCGCTCCAATTGGCCGCGGCGTGCCGTACCGCGGCGGTGGCGGGGGAACGGGCTGTGGACGGCGCCGCAGAATCGGCGCCAGCGCGAGTCTCGGCTTCAGGCCCCGGCTACGTCCTCGCTTCCCAGTGCCAGCCCACCTGCCGGGATGCAGTGGGCCGTGGGCCGGCGGTGGGTGTGGGCCGCGCTGCTGCTGGGTGCCGCAGCGGTGCTGGCCCAGGCGGTCTGGCTCTGGCTGGGCACGCAGAGCTTCATCTTCCAGCGCGAAGAGATCGCGCAGCTGGCCCGGCAGTACGCGGGTGAGCGGGCGGGGGAGGCGGGCGAGGGCCGGGGGAGGCCGGTGCGGAGCTCGAGGGGTGCTGAGCCTCACTCTGTTGTTCCCCTTTCTGCCCCAGGGCTGGACCACGAGCTAGCCTTCTCGAGGCTGATCGTGGAGCTGCGGAAGCTGCACCCAGGCCATGTGCTGCCCGACGAGGAGCTGCAGTGGGTGTTCGTGAACGCGGGCGGCTGGATGGGCGCCATGTGCCTCCTGCACGCCTCGCTGACAGAGTATGTGCTGCTCTTCGGCACCGCCCTGGGCTCTGGCGGCCACTCGGGTCAGTGCTGGCGATGGGCCGGATTGGGAGGCTAGGGCTGTACTGGGGCCCATGCCCTCCTTTCTGAGGTTTGGCCAGTCTGAGTGATGGTGCGGATCCCCTGACCCCTGATACTCGGTGTTCATTTTACTGCCCCTCAGGACGCTATTGGGCTGAGATCTCGGACACCATCATCTCTGGCACCTTTCACCAGTGGAGAGAAGGCACTACTAAAAGTGAGGTCTTCTACCCAGGTGGGTAAGGATGCTCTGTCCCAGAGGTGGGGCCCCTTTCTTGGGGTGAGCAGAGACGGGGAGGGAGCTATGGCATGGAAAAGGAGTCTGCTGAGGGCCCTTTCCCCGGTTTCCTGCCCCTAGATAGCTACAGGTAGTTTCTAGAGCAAGGACAGGCTTTTCTTCAGTCAAAAGGAAACAAAACATGGCTTCCTTTAATCATGTCTGATTTTTGTCTGCCAGGACAGTTTTCTTTATTGTTATTTTTTTCATGACACTTTTCTTCAGCCAGTATTCCAACAGTTACTGGGAAGACAATTGGGTAATCAGAAATAGTCCCCTATTGCCCCAAGGGACAAGACAGACAGTATTTTTTCATATGCACATGTATGTGTGTGTATAAAAAGTAGAGCTTTGAACTCCCAAATAAGTTTGGAGATAGAGTGTTAACAAGCACGACAGGCATTGTAATTGAACAGCTATCTTTCTCTGAAAGCCTCAGGAATCATGTAACCACCTTCCCTATCTAATGGGCCTAGCACAAGTTCAGCTACTTCTACCAGAAGTGAGTACAAACTTCCAGTACTCCCATGTCATGGTCAGGTGAGGTGGCCTTACTTGGCTTCCCCCAAGAGCAAGTGATGCCACAGAGCAATTTTAGAGTGGCCATCTTGGCCTCTTACCCCTCCAGATGGGAGACCAGGCCAGGGAGGGAAGGCTTTTTCATTTTCCTAAGCTCTTTCTCCATTCCCTACCCCTAGATAGTTCATGGGCCAGGGAAATAGCAGTAATGGAAGGACAGCAGCAGGGCTAGGATCCTCATGAGTGCTCCCTGTCCCCCAGGGGAGACAGTGGTGCACGGGCCTGGCGAGGCAACGGCTGTGGAATGGGGGCCAAACACGTGGATGGTGGAGTACGGCCGGGGTGTCATCCCATCTACCCTGGCCTTTGCGCTAGCCGACACAATCTTCAGCACCCAGGACTTCCTCACCTTCTTCTATACTCTTCGCGCTTATGCCCGGGGCCTCCGGCTTGAGCTCACCACCTACCTCTTCGGCCAGGACCCCTGACCAACCAGGCCTGAAAAGAGGACCTGTGGATGAAAAGGAGCGGGCAGGCCCGCACACATCCACTTACTGGATCCCTTGTGAAAAGACAGGGACATATTCACAACATTCAGTTACTGAGTTCCTGCCATATAAGCAGGGACATACATGCTTATATAACCAAACAGATCCATGGGAACATATGGGACACATTCGGATACTGAATCCTGTGTGTATGGAGCATCATGCATTCATACCCATCCAGAGAGGACTCCCCACTTATACCAAGGGGGCCAGTCATGTTCAAACACATAACACAAGCTTGACTCACTAACTCAGGCCTTTCCAGAGCCTTCCTGCCCCCACTCAGGGCTCTGGAGTTAGGGATGGGGGTGGGTATTATACTCTGCCTGGGTCTGACTCCTCAACCCAGCAGCAAAAGGGGACCTGGGGAAGACGAGCTGCCTTTGGAGGCCCTTTCACCTGCAGCTATGATGCTCTTCCCCCTTCCTCTCCCTGTCCTCACCATATGCCTTACCTCCACCTGTTCCCCTGCTATGCAAGTGCCCTCATGGTCTGGGACCCACCCTTTCAGCAGTCCAGTTGGCTGGGGAACCAGAAGAATGTGGAGAACGCTGGGGTCTATGGCCTGTCCTAAAGGACCACCTTCCCCGGGGCTGTGGTGGGGAGGTTGACCTCAGCCCAAGGCCCACCACTGGGAAGAGGATCTGGTGTATCTAGGTCCAAGGGGCCTTCTCTAGCCTAGAGAAGGCCACTTCCCTACATACCCCTTCAGTTTCCAGATACTGCCCCTGATGCATTCTCTTAACCATTTGTCTGTCTGTTAATAAAAACCTGTTGAACAGTTCTCTTTCTTTGTGTGTGAGAGCAGCAGGAGAACCTGCTAACTCCTGGGGGCCTGAGGAACGGCTCTCCTTTGTGTGATTAATTTTATGGGCAATAACTGGACCACACTAGGGACTGTATACTTTGTGTGTCAAATAATCACTTAGGATGTGTATTGAATCTTTAGGTAACCAAGTCTTATTTCCAGAGGTCAATTCTAGGTTGAGACCTTAATATCAGCATGTTTAGTAAGATCCTCCCTACACTTTTTTTTTCTTTTTGCTAATTTCCTTTATTTCATCTGTGGGAATAATTCATTTTCAGTTATATAATGATAGCACCTGGAAAATTTGTTATCAATAAAAATATAATACATACTTTTAAATATAAAGATTTAAATTTTTAATATTTGATACACGTCATGTATCATTGTTGATGTCATATTCTGTTTCAGTTTGTGCCTTTTCTTCCATAATCACACCTAAAAAGCAGTTCTAGTAGATTTTGTGATTCATACCCCTGTGTTATATTAAATTACAGTAACATTTTTATACCATTTTGAATGCCAGATTACACAGGTGAAGTCAGTGATATTTTATGCTCTATATTATGTTGAATTATTAATATCTGAGGTGGTGGAAAGGTTTTTTAAACTATGCTGCTAAGTATGTCCCCACACTTTTTAATGCTACATTTTGAAAATCTCAGGGCTGATTAGGTAGTTTGTATCTTGGTCTTCCCTGTCGTGTCTCACCTGGGTGGCCACAGGGTGGCAGTGTGTACCTACTTTTGAACAGAAAGGAACAATCTTCCATCTTTTTCCTGCCTTTCCAGACTTTGTGTCTACCCCTCACCAGAGCAAGAGTTCCTCCCCTCATGACCTGCCTTTTCTAGGATCACCATATCTGTGGGAGTTCCCAGAAGTGGGGATCAAGCATACTATCTGATGTGTGAGGTTAGTAGGGCCAGGACTAGGGTGAACCAAAAGGTGCCTCAAGTGTTTGCCCTCTTTTCATCCTCCTAATCGTGCTCTGAGGTTGAAAAAAGCCTAGGTCATTCACTTATTAGGACTCTCAATATATTAAAGATAGAACTAATAAAAATCTGGGCCCTCCCTGGTGCCTCAACAGGTTAAAGCATAGCACTGTGAAGTTATCAGCAGCCACTTCAACTCAAGTTCTATCCCCAGCCAGGGAGGTGACCCACATGGCACAGCAGGCCTCTCCTGGCTTGCCCTCTCCTACCCTCAGCAGTGTGTCAGTCCATCTGCCTGTTCTGCTCCCCAGTGTATCTGGTAAATGCTCTTACTGCCCCCACACTTCTGGCCTGCACCTCAGTTCTGTATGCATAAATAAATAAATCTTAAAGAACTAATGAAAATCTGACATTCTAATAAAACTACACATATAACCATTTGGAAACAACATCAAGAATCTAAGTTTGTGGCTCTGAAAGAAAGGTCCAGGCAAGATGACTTTCCTGACACCTATCACCACCTTGTTGGTTGATAGATCGTGGCTGGGACCTCCCTGCTCATCATGGGTCCCAAAGTCAACCCTCCAAGAGTTTCTTCAGTCTGTAGCCCAGTTCTGCCTCTAGGCTTAAAGCCCGTGTATTAGGAAATACACCCAGACAACCCTTCTATAAGGACTAGGTTCCTAGTCAGTTGTTAAGTTTAGTGGGGTTCCCCCTCCACTCTTAATTTGACACAGTTAATTATTCTTGATTTCTAAAATATTTCTTCCTTCATTGCCTCCTTTGTGGAATCTGTCTTAACTGCTCAACCTGATTTCCCAGGACCTAATCCTCAGATTTCTCTCTATTTCCAGGAGAACTTAACTGTTTTGTGACTTTAAGTATTGTCTTTTCCCCAAGTTTTATCAAGATAAAGCTGCATTGTGTTTTTCTTTAAAGATTTATTTATACAGAACTGGGGTACAGACCAGAGGTGTGAGGGATTGACCAGAGACAAAGTAGGGAACAGAACAGGCAGATTGAAATACACTGCTGAGGGGAGCAGTGGGCAGGTCAGGAGAGGTCTGCTGTGCCATGTGGATCACCTGGCCAGGGATCAAATTCATGCTGCATAGCTGTGATAGCTTCAAAGCTGCATTGTATTTTAAAATGTCAACATATATAGATTATAAAATGATCGCAATAAGGTTAGTTGACATCCACCACTTACATAGTTAGAAATTCTGTTTTTCTTTGAGAAGAAAAATCTATTTTCTAAGAAACTTCCAAATATATAATGTAGTATTGTTAACTATAGTCACTGTGCTGTACATTTCTTTCCAAGAACTTAAAATTGAAGTTTGCATCTTTTGACTACCTGCTTTCCCCACCTCCAGCCTCACAGCCACCAATCTATTCTGTTTTCTATGGTTTTTTTTTTTTTTTTTGGGTAAGATTCCACATACAGATGGTTATACAATATTTATCTTTGACTTATTTCACTGAGCCTGTTACCTTTAAGGATTACATTCATGCTTGTACCCTACAAAGTGGGTTCACACAACAGCCAAAATCACTTTTACTCTCTGCTAGGACATTTCCAAAGGCGTCCTATCTCATTCAGTTCTACTGCCCCCAGGAAGCTACTCCAAGGCCTGTGTTACCACTGACCAACCATCCAGCCAATCACCTCAGGGACCCTCAGAACTAGCCCAGCGGCCTGCTTGCTATTTTCTGACACATCAAACAAGCTTCCATCCATATCAGGATACTTGCACCTGCTGTTCTGACTAAAACACGCTACCCTAGGAATCCACATGGCTCACTTCATCCCTTCCTTTGATTCCTGTTCACTGAGTCCCTCTGTACTTCTATAAAGTTTTTGATACTTTATTAAGAAGCATACTGGTTTCTTCTCCCCTAAATGTGCACTGGGCTTAGTTGAATGCTTTTAATAAATATATGACCGAAGTGACTGTCTTGATTTCCAAGACAGCATTACTACCTATTTAGTCTTTATTGCTTGGATATTGGAAGGTCACTCAGTAGTTCCTTGGACAGGATCCCCTGGGGAGAACAGCACCCTGCCTACAGTCATTCTGGAAGTGGATCCTTCAGTCCCTGTCTTCAGGTAACTACATTAAAGAGGCAGTGAACCAAAACCAGCTAAGCCACCTCTAACCCTGAACCACAGAATTGTAAGAAAATAAATTTGTTTGAAGCTACTAAGTTTGAGTGTAATTTGTTAGTCATAAATAACTAGTATACCACTCGTCATATTTTCCCAGCCCGATTTTTCTCATTTTAATTATCACCATCGAGCTATATTTATGTATATATATATATGTTACATGCTTATATATCCTACTGTAGTGAAACCATTACAAAAGGGTATTATTTTACTTAGCCCAGTGTTCAGCAATACCCAGCATAAAATAGATGCTCAGTAAATGTGTGTTGAATGAATGGAGGTCCAGCTTTGTCTGAGGTGTCTATGAGTGGATGTGAGACAACCTTTCCTCTGTAGATGAGTTGAATCAGTCCCTAGATAGGCTTCTTCGTTCCTCTCTGCCCTTTCCAGTTGCAGCCTCCTGGTCTAGACCCCAAAGACCTGATTGGCATCCCCCTCTCCTCTGCACCTGTAAAGCAATCTCAAAACCCTTAGAACTAGAATTTCCCCCAAGCCAGTAGTTATACATTTGTAGGAGGAATCTTACCATCTCTCTCTCTCTAGACAACACCTCTTTGAGCTACCAGCCAGGAAGCAAGCTGAGCACAGAGGTTTCACAGATACCTACCCTCTACCCTCCAGTGCCCTAGGAGGACCCCATGGCATGTTTGCTTGCTTCTGCACATTCACTGATCCTCTGTGGGCCGGCAGAGGAGGTGGCTTGACTGCCCCCAAGAGAACCCTTAACAACACAAATCCCTGAGAGAGGAGGGTCTATCTGGGCATCAGTTCTGAAATTTGCAGAAAGGCACTGGAGTAGAGTAAGTCAAAGGTGTAAGCAGAAATGGGCCTCAGTGAGGCCAGAGATGAGCCAAAGAGAATAAAGACTTATACCCCAGTGGCAGCTGGGCTGGAGGAGACAGGAAGAGCCAGTTTGTCATTCACCAGAGGAGCTGGTAAGAATTGCTGGTAGTGTGGACCAGGGCTAGCTGGGTTTGAGAGGAGGGAACTGATTTGGGGAGGAAGGGGGAGAGGCAAAGTTCACACATGGATTTCTGCCTTTTAGAGGACTCAACTCTGAAACGTGGGTCAATGGGATGGTTATAAAGTCAAAGGATGAAACCCACTATCAGGGTTTAACATAGTTTCACATCCATGGTAGGTGTCACCCCTAGGGCTATGTGTTGTTCACATATACTTGACATCACCTCTGTGTGTCACTCTTAATTTTAGTAGGTCTGTACTGTAGGAAATTGGGGAGTGTATGTGAATGTCTTGAGAGGAGTGGAGTCTGGGCAGCATTCAGGCCTATCAATCAGAACCCCCATAAAGGAAAAGCACCTTTGCATCTGGCAGATAACCGGGGTGAGGTGACTAAAAGCCGTTGATTAACAGGATCTCTAGAAACATGTTGGGGACTCATACACATGAGTGAGGTGGTGTGTAAAGACAGTCAAGTTGCTAATCACTACTGAAATGCATGATGAGTACCAAAGGTCTGCTATGCTGTTCACTCTTGTGTGGATATTTGAAGCTTCCCATAACAGAACATCATCTACAGCTAAAAACTGGCTGTATCTGCCTGTGGTCTATATACCTTGCTGTGGGTGTGCAGTCTTCTCAGAGCTAGCTAGGAGGAAGTGCTGAGGTGTGAATCCATTGCATTATAGACACATTGTATAAACTGCATTGTGTGCAGTTGGGGATAGCACCTGGACAGGTCTGACACTCACCCCAGCTTCCTGGAAAGTGATCCCCCTCATGATCAGAATCTACCCAGGTCATTGTAATCAAGTAAGGGAGGGGACAAAGCACTAAGGTGCCTGAACTTGTGACAAGTGTGTTGGTGTGTGAACATGGCTGTTTGCATATGAATGCCAGACACTGAGGGAGGGCCACGAGATTGGGCGGGGCCCTGACCCTGGAGTCCAGCGGGGCGGTAGACTGAAAATCCAGTGGTGGTGGAGTTACTCCCCTGTGCAAGGTTCCAGGCTCCTCTGCAGAGTCCCTCCCCCTGAATCTGGCGGTTTGGAGGGTAGGAGACACCTGTTGGGGGGCTGGGAGCGGCAGTGGCCCCGGGAGCTCTCTTCTTGCGCCCCCGCCCGCCCTGGCCCGGCTCGGGTCCCGCCCCCGCGGCCGCGGCCAGTAGAGCCGCGAGTGAGCGCACCGCGGCCAGAGGAGCGCGCGCCAGCAGGAGCGCACCGCGGGGTATCCCCGCGCAGGGAACCGAGCCAAGGCAGGGTCGCCCGGGAGGCGGGCGGAGCAAAGGGAGCATCGTGGAGACGCCAGGGGCAGCGGGCCGCGCCAGGCTGGTGAGTGTGGCCGCGGGGCTTCGGGAGCTAGAGAGCGGGCATCGAGATCCTCGCTGTGCCCTGCCCGGCGGTCCCGTCCCAGTTCCGGCTCAGCCCAGGCAGCCCTCTCGCTATTCCCGCGCCTCTTCGATTCCAGTGCACTGCGTCTCTGCGGCGAGTCTCCGTCTGTTCTCCCCTGTTTCTTTCTCTGCTCCCGTCTGTTTACTGTTTGTTTCTTTCTAATCTCTCTCTTCTGTCTCTGCCTCTTGCAGCATCAGTCTTTCCTTGTCTCTCTCAAGCCGTCTCACTATTTTTCTCTGTCTGCCTATCTCTTCTTCCTGGACTGCCTGTCACTCATCTTTGATATTTATCTTTTGCTCCTCTATTTCTCTTACCTTCCTTCTCTAACCCAAATCTATCAACCTCACCTCTTTCCACCTCTGTCTCTCCTTTCGTGTCTCCTCCTGATAGCTGTTTCTATCTCCGTGTCCCTCTCATCTCTGTCTCTCTCCCTACTTCTGTCTCTTTTCCATCACCGTCTCTATCTCCTTACCTCCCTGACATTCATTGTCTCTCCCTGTCGGTCTCTTTCTCTGTCTTTTCTCCAGTTCTGTTTGTCGGTCCTTGTCACCTTCTTTGGTTTGCTTAGTCTCTACCAGTCCTCAGGCAATGCCCATTTCTGTCTCTTTGGGTCTGGTCTCTGCCTCATGGCTCATTTTGCCCCTCTGTGCCTGTCAGTCTCTGAGAAAGCTACCTTTCAGGCTTTTCCCCATCGCTCCTGCACTTCCCTGAATCTGTGACCACCTCCTCTTCTGTTGGGGGTTGTGAGGGCAGAAGGCCCAACACCCAAAATTCCCTCCCTCACAGGCAACCCTTTCCTCCGGGGCCCGTCTGGTGCCCCCTCCCCCGGGGGGACTGCGCCTGGAAGCTGTAATGGAGGCCCTGCAGAGACAGCAGGCAGCCCGGCTGGCCCAGGGGGTGGGGCCATTGGCCCCTCCACGCCCACCGCAGTCACCCCGGGTTTCCTTGCCCGGCCACCCGGCACTGCAAGCCCCTGAGGGGGCTTTTGGTGAGGTTGGAGCTGAAGAAGAGGACACTGCAGAAGAGGAAGATGAGGAGGAGGAAGCAGGGGCTACAGAGGAGGCCGCTGAGGAAACCTGTCCAGGGATCCAGGGCCCTAGTTCACCTTCCAGCCAGCCCCCTGGACCTCATCCCCACGAGTGGACCTATGAAGAACAGTTCAAGCAGGTAGGACCCCTTCAATGTCAGGCCTTCCCCTTTCCTCCTCTAGGCAAAAGCAGAGCCAGGTAATCAGCAGCCCACCTGACTCCACTGCCCTCTGCAGGATGGAAAAACAGAAACACAGAGACCTGGACAGAGACAGTGAGAAAACTGGAGGACAGATAGTGCTTGAGAGGGAGAAGCAGATACCCATTGTACACACTGAGGGGAGGAGGAGGAACCAGAAACCTGGGGGCAGAAAGACTTGGAGGCTCTTGGTGAGACTGTAAGGGAAAGTGGGAGCATGTAGGAGCCTTCCAGAATTTTTTGAGGGGGGATCTGAAGGCTGTGGCCCCTAGTACCGGCACCATCCAGGCTTCCCTTCTAATACATCAAATTTCAAGGTCATATTCAGTGACCACTTTTGTCTTCAGAAAAGAAACAGAATGGAGATCATCGTTCTTTTGGCAGGCTGAAAACCCCTCTCTCCTCTTCCTTGCTATGCTCCCCTATCCACATCCTCTGCCTGACTTTAATGGGTGACAGTCCTCAGCCTGTGATGGCCACTACAGCTGTGGACCTCTGTACAGCTAAGAGTGACAAGGACTTACTCCCAGGGTCTTTTTGAGGTTCTTCCTCCCCATGGATGGAACCCAGGCTGTGCCAGGCTGTTACTTGAGATTTTATGCAGAGCAATGACTGGAAGGGTGCTATTCTGGTGGTGTTCCTCACAGGGCGTTGGTCTTGTCTCTATTGCAGAAGTGTCCATTTGTGGTAGTGTTCTGTGGTAGTAGTGTGAAACAGGGAGTGTCACTCAGGGCTCTGTTACTCTGGAGATGTGGATCCAGAGATTGTTTCTCTTGGGTATAATTCTAGGAGCTACTACATGGAGAATGTGTGTTACTTATGGAATTCATCAAAGACTTAGGATTCAGTACAACTCTAAAGGTGGATCTCTGGGGTTTGTTATCACCGGGTATGTTTTTGCTCTGGGAGTTCTTATTAGGGGATAGAGTTTGCCTATGGGTATTACTCAGGGACTATTATTCTGGGTAGATAACTGGATTGACCTCCTGGGTAGTATTCGGAAAGGAACACTGGAATGGGGGCTGGGGTAACCTGGATGGTGCAGGGCTGCTGACTGTATGGTAACTTTTATAGTGAATAAGTCATTGTCCCTGAAGGAGATCACACCAGGTAGGCTGAGGGGCCTTAGGTACCCAGGAGCTTCTGAGCATCTCTCCTGCTTGAACAATGAGTTAGGGTCACCTTTACCTTCATCCCTGGAGCCCTGTCACATTGTGATGTTGTGCACAGCAGGACACAACTCCAGCCTGACTTCCTCCTGGGAGTTCTGTGTATGCCCAGGAGGGGCAGACCTTTTCCACAGCTTCCTCCTTTCCCCTACTTCCCATATGGGTGGTTTGAGCTGCTCAGGACAGTGGGATCTCTGAGCATTGGGGATAAATGCCCCTATCTGCTCCTAGGGCAAGAGAACCTGAAACTAGGGAGTCCACATTACAGACCCCACTTACTCCTTCAGCTAGAGACCCTCGTGTAGGGTACAACTTGAGTTGGAGTGGGGAGGACAGGGGAGACGGAAGACCAGCAGAACTGGAAAATGACCTCAGTCTTTCCCCAGCTATACGAGCTTGATGCAGACCCCAAGAGGAAGGAGTTCCTGGATGACCTCTTTAGCTTCATGCAAAAGAGGGGTAAGTGGAGCTCTGTGTGTGTGGAGGGGGGGTGGTGGTGGTGGGGGAGGACCCTGGCATGGCCCCCTGCTTCCAGGCTTAAGGAAGGGAGACTCTAGGGTTTAGTACCAGGGTTGTGTCCTCTCTGCAGTCTTGAGCTTGGCAGCACCTGTCCTTTGGGCCCTTGATGGCGTCTTTAACCTCTGACCCCGCCCCCCTCCTCCACCCAGGGATTAATTAGTGGCCAGCCCACTGTCAGGTTAATGAGTGTGGGATCAATTGGGTGGGAGGGAGGGGGGAATTGGTTGGAGGCTGGCCTGGGATAGGGGAATTTTGAGGACTGGAGGGCCGAGAATGCCTTGGTCCTCTTCCATTGGCCCTTCCCCCAGGCTTGCCTTTCCTTGGTTTCCCTGGTTTCAGGAACACCCCTTGAGCTCTGCAACAGAAAGAACTAGGATTAAACTTGAAGGAAGGGCTTCTCAAGGGATAGGCTGGGACTGTGGAGGAGGAAGAATTCCTTTCTAGGAATTTTTCTTTTTCAGAGCTAGAAGAGAATGCAAGAAGGGTCCAGGAGGGAAATAGGGTGGGCGACAGTACATCACTTCAGCTTCTCCCCAGATTCATGGGTCCGGAGACTGACTCATTATCTCTCTCTACAAAGCTAATTAACTCACTTGGAGCGCAGGCTGATAAGCCGCTAATTAACTGGCTGCACTGCGGCCCCCTCCTTTAGTGGCGCTGCAGGCCAAAGTCCCTCGGGCAGCTCACTCCCCCCCACCCCTCCACCAACACACAGACACACACAACACACTAGGTCCAGCATTCCTTTCCGGTCCTTTTCTAGCATGGGCACTCGGTAGGTCCCTAGACCCTGTACTCCCCAAGGAGTCTCATTCTGATTCTGTGTCCCCTCCTTGTCCCTTCGTTGAGGTCTCCCCTTCCCTGGAGATGGGGTACCGTGGTCTGAGCGGATCCCAGCACTCCCTCCCACCCTAGGCCGGGAGCTCTGCCTCCCTCTGGTCCCTGCCTCCCTCTGCTCCCTCCGCAGGGGGAGGGGGTCCCCCGGGGCCGATAATTTCTCCCCATTAATCAGGCCGCAGCTAATTGTTCGGGTCCAAAGGCGGCGGCGGAAGGGGACGGGATCGGTAAGGAATTAACTGGGGCCCATCGCTCAGCGCAGACAGGCCCCTTTGTCAGGACTGGCCGGCGGGGGCGGCGCGGGCTGCGCAGCGAGCCGAGGCGGGACTGTTTCTTTGCCCATCCACCATCCCCAGGCCTCTGGGCAGCCACCCCGGGGGCTGCTGCTTAGGGTACTCGGGTTCTTCTGCCCTGACAAGAAGTTCTTCCTGCAGATATATTCCGGGGATCAGCAAACTAAAGCCTGATGGCCAAACCTAGCTCCCCTGCGATGTAAGATTTTTAACATTTAATTTTTTCTTTTTATTTTTATAACCCTATCACCTCCTGGTCGCGGTTTTCACATTTTTAAATAATGGAAAAAATGAAAAAATGCACATTTCCGGATATGTGAAATTCGAGTTTCAGAGTATATAAAGTTCTATTGTAACACAGATGGGCTATTCTTTCAAATATCGCCTATAGCGGCTTTCAGGCTACAATGGCAGAGTGGAGTAGTACTATCAGAGGTCGTGAAACGCCATCTGTCCCTTTACAGAAGTTTGCTGACCCCAGGTTTGAGCTTCTAGTCCTTCCAGCTCTGTAGGCTGTTCTTGTAATCCTACCTCTCCATCCAACGGACTCCATCAGTCTGGGAGGATGCCCCCAGACGAGGTAGTGTCCTGACTGTCCCACCCTCCCCCTCACCCCTACTAGGAACGCCAGTCAACCGTGTGCCCATCATGGCGAAACAGGTGCTGGACCTGTACGCGCTGTTTCGCTTGGTGACTGCTAAGGGCGGCCTGGTGGAAGTCATCAACCGCAAAGTGTGGCGAGAGGTCACGCGCGGCCTCAGTCTGCCCACCACAATCACCTCGGCCGCCTTCACTCTACGAACGCAGTGAGGCCAAGCGCGCGCGGGGGACAGAGCGAGGCCAAGGAGGGAGTGCGGGATGTGGAGGGTATGGGGCGGTTGTCAGAGTGTGGGACTTGATCAGCTGCGCCCAGCCTCCCATTCCTTCTCCACCCGGTCCTCCCCTAGGTACATGAAGTACCTGTACCCGTACGAGTGCGAGACGCGGGCGCTCAGCTCCCCGGGAGAGCTCCAGGCAGCAATCGACAGCAACCGCCGCGAGGGTCGTCGTCAGGCTTACACAGCAGCCCAGATCTTCGGTTTGGCAGGGCCGCCCCCTCGAGGCACTCCGGGCACCGCCTCTGGCCCTGGCCCCGCCCCCTCCACCCCTGCGGCCGGCCCCCGCCCCACCCAGGGCTCCGCCTCCGGTCTGCCGGCGCACGCCTGCGCACAACTGAGCCCGAGTCCCATCAAGAAAGGTGTGGGGGGAGAGAGGTGGAGGTTTGGAAATCCCTAGTGGGGCGCTGAGATACAGGGAACATTAAAAGGTGGGGATTCTGAGTGGGAGGCATTGACTGAGTGGGCTGTCAGGGCTCGTACGTTTTATCGGTCAGGTCAAAAACTAGGAACGGTGGTGTTAACTGTGGTGGGGGCTCAAGTTCAGGAAAAGGTGCTTTATCTAGAGCAACTTCGTTCCATACTTGTCCATCCAACGCTCATATCTGCATTGTATCACCGGTGGTCTAGATTATTTAACAATCAAGAGCAAGAAAATTCCTTCAGTTATCTCAGAACAACCTAGATGGCCCTTTGGATATTACAGTTTCAGTGCGTTTAGGGTGAAAATATGGTCAGGAGGGAGGACTGAACTTGGTGCTTGGACTGGGTAACCTCTCTTGATCCCACTGGGGGAATAACCAAATGCAGCGACAGATATAATTGCGCCAGAGTAGATGAATGATCTGTTATTTCAGAGGACAGCGCAATTCCAACCCCTCGACTGGCACTGCCCATGGGCCTCGCCTTAGGACCTGTACGGGAGAAGTTGGCACCAGAGGAGCCCCCAGAGAAGAGGGCTGTGCTGATGGGGACCATGGACCCACCTCGATCTGGTTTCCTTCCCCGGGGCAAGGTTCCCTTGAGGGGTAAGAAGGGGCTTAGTGCTGAGTGGGCTTTGGACTTGGGCACTGAGGGAAAATAGATCCATTTCCTGAGAGGTTTTGGAGGAGGGTATATAAATACCCCAATAGACAATTGTGTCATTACAGGAATGGGACTGGAGTGGGGTGAGGGTTGTCTGTAGTGATGGAGGGATATGTTTTTAAGTCTGAAGTCTGATTCCATAAAATGTGACTTCCCTGTCCCCTCCTGGACAGAAGAGCAGCTGGAGGGTCCTCTCAGTCTGGCAGGCAGTGGTATCAGCAGTATCAACATGGCCCTAGAGATCAACGGGGTGGTCTATACTGGTATGGGCACTGCAGGCTATTCACACTGGCATGAAATCAGGGGTATTTACACCAGCATGGGGATTTTAGACTTTCCCTACTAGCATGAAGTTCAGAAATATCCAAACTTGCATGGGAGACATGGGTTTCAGGGGGCTGCAACACTGGCATGGGTTAAAGGTGGTATCTACATGGCATGGGATCTGAGGCATGACCTCTTTGGCATGGGTATCATGGGACGTTTGCCTTGTAATGGGCCTCTATATCTGTATAAATATTTCTTGTTTACCTGTTTAATGGTATCTACATTAGCATACAATTCTCTTAACTAATGCAAGGGGCTTTTCCTGACTGGTTTGTAACAAACACTGACTTTTGTTTCCTTCTTCTGTTTCCATGCCCACCTCCTCCTGATTGTGTTTGCTCCCTGCCATCTCCTCATCCTTCTATAGGCGTCCTTTTTGCCCGTCGTCAGCCTGTACCAGCCTCTCAGGGTCCAACCAACCCTGCACCCCCTACAGGGCCTCCTTCCAGTACCTCACCCTGAGAGTTCCCACTTGGAATTAAGTGTGTCAGCACCATTGCTGAGGGGAGAGGAGACAGCCCTCTCCCCACACCTTAATTCTTCCAGGATATCCACTCTTGGACCCAGCTCTGGGAGGTGACCACTCCCCCCATGCCATTTGAATTTAAAACCAAAGAGTTTTCTTTTGCTATTACATCTACCTCATTGTAAAGAGAGGGCAATCCTCCCTGGCCAACTTTAGAATCAAAGAGTTCTGCCCCCATTAACACTTATCACCTCATGTGCCCACTTTTGTCAGTATTCCTCACTGTTACCCTTATGCGTAACCCCACCTCTTGGTGTCAGATCTACTTCTCTTCAGAGCCAGGTGAAGTGTTGGGTTGGGGTGTTGTGAAGGAGATGTCCCTTGGATCACATCTGGACAATAAAGCTGCAGTCCATCCTCCAGTGCCGCCTTTTCTTGTCTTCTTGGGGAGAAATTGTGTTGTATATATAAGCTAACTTCTCAGAGGGGAAGACAGAATAGCAAGTCTATGAGTTGAGAGTAAGAGAATTCAATCTCAAAAATAAGACTGAGTTCAAATTCTGATTCTGCTGCTATAGTGCTGAGGGGCCTTGGGCAAGACCTAATCGCTTGAAACTTAGAAAACTTATACGGGTACCTCACGGGGTCATTTACTGAGCTATAGGAATGGACTATCCTGGAATAATGGATGTGTGTATATATGCATTCTCCAAACCCGGGGGAGGAAATTTCATTGGTACCCTGGCATTAGAAAAAGAAACTCAGAAGTTGACAAGCAGGAGTTCGAAGTTCGGAAACGGACTGACAGTTTAGTTGTTGCCTAGGTAACCAGGTAGCTTTTGAAACTTGTCATAGTACCGTCCTGTCACTTCCGTCACCAAGACGCTAAATCGTGACGCCACTTCCGGTCTAGAGGGTTAACTGTGTACTCGGATTGGCCAATCTTCTCTATTTGGACGGACGTCCCGCCCTCTGGTTGTTTCCTGGCTGAGGCGGGGCGGCGGTAGCTATGGCGGCTGTGACCGATGTGCAGCGGCTACAGGCCCGTGTGGAGGAGTTGGAGCGCTGGGTGTACGGTCCGGGCGGTTCACGCGGCTCGCGGAAGGTGAGCTATCGATATGGGACCCATTGGCCCCTTTATGGGGCAGAGGAAGGTTGGTCTGCTGGTCTGGTCTTCAGGATGGATGCAGTCGCCCCTGTCCCGTCGCCCGCAGCCTGGCCTTTGAAATAACAAAGGTCTGACACTTCCCTGAGCGTATCGAAAGGAATCTTGGGGTCCATTCCCATGGACACTGCAAGTTAAGGCTTCTTGATGTGAGCTGTGCAAGACTGCTTCTGTTCTTTCAGGCTAGTTGGGGAGACCTGACAATACTCGAGAACCTGACTAATGAGAGTTTCAGTGAGCACTGAATTCTACAATGGAAGGGCGTCATGGAGCTCTGCATAATTAATTAAATGAATTGTGCAGAGATCCATGGGACCCTAGAGGTGGCAAAGCAGAAATGGATAAGAAAAATCTCCAAGGAGGGAAAGGAATTGAATACTGGATATTAGATATGCACTGGCACCCCACACCAGTGATGAATTCTGACAACTGTGAAACTCAGTTACCCTCCCAACCCTTTTTGATATGGGAAGACCTTTTACTGAAGATGAAGTGTCAGGTATGTCCGAGTTAAGTGTATCAGAGGTAACATATCTGTTTATACACTTCTATTGGCATTAGTTGTCAGTAGCATTTGAGAACTGACTTCTTAGACTATTCTCTTGATTTGGCGTCTATTATATTAACCTTCTTGGTTTTCTTCCTACTACCCTGGCGGCTTCTGCTGCTCAGTGTTATTTGCCTCCCCATAAATTTGACCTTTGAATATTGACATCACTCACCTTTTAACCTAAAACCTGGGTGAGTGATTTACTTACATACCCTTTAGTATTGAAATACTTCACTCTCTACCTTAATGTCTAGGTAGGTTCAGCCAGAAAGGCAGGAACCATATATAGCTTATGTTAGTGCCCCATAAACTCACATAGCCCATTACCTCTCCCAGTTATACTTGAAAACATGCGGAGTCCCTGAATGTGGGGTTGCATTTCCTTTAATACTGGAGAAGAGGAACAGCCTAGATTGCTGGGACTAAGAGATTTGGAAGTCAAGGGAATGAGGGTTCTTTACTCTTCAAGCCTTGAGCCAGGTATTGAATCTTGGAATTAACTTTTACAGGTGGCCGATGGCCTGGTCAAGGTACAGGTGGCTTTGGGGAATATTGCCAGCAAGAGGGAGAGGGTGAAGATTCTGTATAAAAAAAGTAAGTGCTTCCATGGGGTGTCCATACCTATGCTTCCTGAGACTTGGCTTTGTAGGTCACTGGAGTTGCTCTTCAGGAATAGACTGGGAAGAAATGGTTTATTGGGGTGTTCTTTCTGTTTTGTGATTAAATTCCAAGTTCATGACAGTGTCTTAAGTTATGGGATTAGAGTTCTGCCTGAAAGTTCCCCTTGGTGAAGGAGGGAAGAAGGAAATGGGATTTTTACAGGCAAGGTTCAGAAGTAGGAAATTAGGCACAGCCTTGGCTCTGTCATGCCTTTTTAGTTGTGTCAGAGCAAGTAACATGCTCAATAACTAGAAATCAGATAAAGCTTTGGCTGTTCTTGGTGGCACTGAGGCAAGGGGCCTTTGCCCTTGGTAAAGATAGTTCAGTAGACAATTGTGTTTCTAGCTCTAAAGTTTGAAGTTGAGGCCCTCCCTGGTGGCACAATGAGTTAAAGCACAGCACTACAAATATAGCCGTAACTGCTTCAGCACAAGTTCAACCCCCAGCCAAGGAGGTGACCCACATGGCGCAGCAGACCTCTCCTGACCTGCCTGTTGCTCCCCTCAGCAGTGTACTTTGTCAGTCTGCCTGTTCTGCTTCCCACTCTGTCTCTGGTGAACCCTTTCACTGCCCCTTCACCTCTGGCCTACACCCCAGTTCATTATGCATAAATAAATCATTCTTTTAAAAAAATAATAAAGTTTGAAGTTGGCTAGCAGGTAATTAGGGTGGAGAGACAGGGAAGTGGGGATAAGACAGCCTGATGGAGGCCTGCTGATGGACACTGAGCGATAGCTCCTCACTCAAGACTTTCCCCAATATCTAGAGACTGTTCCCCTAATATGTAGAGTCTTGCTCCCCAATTATATTCCATTTTCCATCTTGTTACTTTTCTAGTTGAAGACCTGATCAAATACCTGGATCCTGAATACATTGACCGCATCGCCATACCTGATGCCTTTAAACTGCAGCTCATCTTAGCAGGTAAATGCATCTGGGGATGTAGGTTGTGGGGGAAGTTGGGCACAGAAATGGCTCCTGGCAGTCTTCCCAGGGATATAGTCCTGGGGAAGCTGCTTTCTGGAATTCTGACCTGGCTGTGTGCTGTGGCTAAGGTGGTCCTGTGGTTCTCCCATGGGCACTGGGTGCAGTATACTCCTGGGCTGGCTGCAGGCAGGCCATGCTGGCAGCCACAGTGGGAGCTACTCCAATGTTCTATCAATCTTCTACCTCTAGGATTTTTCTTCAGAACCTTCCTCACTTCTGCTTACTGGGTAGTGGAGCCCATATAAAAGGGTGAGGGCCGAGAACATTACATTTAGAAGAGACGAAAGTACATGTTTTTAGCATCTTTCTTTCATGGAGAACGTTCTAGAATTTGAGTTCTAGGCAGGAACTACTGTCTTGCAAATGTCTGGTTATCAGTCAGCCTCTCCACAAGATAGGGTTTGCCAGGCACCTGCGTTTGTTCATTCATTCAAATGATGGTTAATGATCATCTGCTGTGATCCAGCCGTCCTTGGTATGAGGTAGACAGTGACAAACCAGACATGCATGCCTTGGTGGATGTAGCCAGAGCTGGGGAGAAAGAGTCCCTTCTCGAGGTCCTGCGCTGGTAACTGAGCATGGAGATCAGACTCTAGGACTGAGGCAGAACTATTGCAGCACTGGGGACTGGGTGAGGATGTGACAGCTCCTAATAAGAATGCCATTAGAACACCCAAAGGGCCTCCTGATTAATTTTGGTAGCTCAGGCACTGAATTCAGATCGTGACCCACACTGACTTTGTGGCCAGCCCTTCCATTCCTTGTTGCCGCAGACTTGTTCAACCCTTCATACACGAGCGACTCAGTCACCTAAGTTCTCTTCTTGATCCTAGTCTTCTTGCATGTGGCCCATTATCCTCTTTCCAAAACACATTTCCACATGCCACTTTGTCTTCCTTCGAACCTCAGTGTCTGTCTCCCCTAGCTAGGATAAAATCTTCCTTCCCTAGTGTGTCATTCAAAGCCCTCTACAGCCAGATGGATCAACCCTCCCACAGCTGTTACCTGTGCTCATCTTGCTTCACTTTAGCCAGCTGAATGCTTTCCCTTCTATTAATTGACAAGCATTCTTGCCTTTAAATGTTGGACATAATGTTCTCCCTTCATGAATGCCCTCATGCTACGTAACCATACAAATCCATGCTTTCTTCACTGAACTATCCTGTTAGTCTCCCAGCTCTCTGGGAGCTTGTCATTATCTCTGCCTCTCCAAACCTCTGAGCAGAACCTGCCTGCTACCCTACCCTACTGTTTTGTCTTTTACACCTTCCAGGAGCCCTTGGTATGGAAATCCAAGTAGAAGTAACTACAAAGTACATGTCTCCTGGGACCTAGGAGAGGCTCACTGAGCTTGTTAATAGGAGGCGAGAAGAAGCTCAGAGAAAGATGGGATTTAGAGAAATGTAGAGGCTCCTTGGCTCAAGATGGGTCAACCAGAGGCATCTAGGAGGGGTGGGGGCTGAAGAGGGTAATGTGCACCTAGCGGAGGGGACAGTGGGCAGAATAGCTCTGTGTAGTTCCATGACCCAGCTCTCTCGCTTAGCAGGTTCTCGTCCCCTTGTGTGGGAGTATTTTGCCCAGACTCTCCTCACTGTCATGATCTTTTCTGTTTCTGTCGCAGAGGAGCAGTTTATTCTCTCCCAGGTTGCACTTCTGGAGCAGGTGGATGCTTTGGTGCCCATGCTGGACAGTGCTCACATCAAAGGTACCTCCGTGGGGCTGGCACTTCACTTCTCTGTTTGGGGAGGTAGAGTGGCTGGGCAGGTGTCCCAGGTTCCTGGGGCTCAGCTGGGTCTATTCCTTGCCTTTACCCTCACAAGTGCCTGACACTTGTCAGGGCAGAGAATGCAGTTTCGGAATCTCAGGCAATTTGGGTCTAGTTGTAAACTGAGGACACTAGTATAAATCTGGCAACCTCCAAATCTAGGAATTCCTCTGCCCCGACCGTCTGCACCTGTTCTCAAGATGCTGCAGAGCCCGGCTTTTACTCTGAGTCCCTGCCAGGTGTGTGAATTCTTCCTGCTGCACTGCTGAGAGTAGTCCCTTGGCCTGGGTTTTGACAAGCAGACTGGCTTTAATTGAATCCAGATATCCATCTTGTCTGTCTCTGGAGGTGTTTTTCCCAGCTCCCCCTCCCTACTCCTGATCAACTACCTGCTGAGCATCTGACAGCTTTAAGCTGTGGGGCCAGTATAGTGGCTGAGGATGTGGGTGTTGGGTTTCAGGTGTCCAGCTTAGGTACCTGATGTTTTAGCCCACCTACAGGCTCTGTTCCCTTGACAGGCAGTTCGGGGCCCCCTGGCTGGGAGCACAGGGACAGATTCTGTGATAGCAAAGCTTTCTTTTCCTGGCCCTGCTTATAGCATTGAAGTGGGGGTACAGGGCAACTTTGGGGGTCCCAAGGTTTTGTCTTTAGCTAGGGTCCTGTATCCTCCCTACCCCTATGGGTCCCAGAGTAAGACTGGGGTGGACAGAGAGCCCACCCCACCACCATCTCCAGGCCACAGTGGTCGATGAAGCCTGGCGTTTGTTTAGCTTCTCCACTCAATATTCTAATCCTGCCGAAGACCTAATAGACTATTGAGCAGTCCCGAGGGAAGGCACAGCATCATCCAGAAGTGTGCGTTGTGTTTTACAGCCGTTCCTGAACATGCCGCCCGCCTGCAGCGCTTGGCCCAGATCCACATCCAGCAGCAGGTAGGGGAGGGGAGAGGACTGGAAGGGAAAGTAGAGGTTGTGAGGTACCTGGCCGCCATCCCTGCCACTTGGGAAAGTACTCTTAGGCTTCTGTGATAGGAGCAGGCTCCTCTGATATCAGCAACAGGGGCAGTTGGGGTTTATCCTTTATTCCCATCTGTTCTAGAGAATAGAAGGGACTTGACTCGGGCTACATTCAAGTCTCCTGCCTCCCAGAGTAGGGCTATTCTGAGACTCCAGAAGGTTGATGTTGGAAGGTACCCCAAAATTCCTGGAGATGGTGTGTCCTTGACTATGGTTGGAGTTCTTTGTTCACTATCCTGAGACCCTAGTGTAAAGTTCAAAGAGGGTTTGGAGGCTGGGGGCAGGGGAAGAGGAGATGTAAACAAGCAGGAATGTTTCCTTTAATGTGTGGTCCACTCCCCTTCCGTTAACCTTTGAACTGCTATTGTCGCACCTAGTCTGGAGCCAGAAAATGTTCCCTTAGCAATTTTTTCTTTTTCACTCTGGGGTTAAACATCAAACATCACTTTTTGTTGGCTTTGTGGGGAGTAAAGATCCCTGATGAGGCAGAAAGGTTGGTGGGAAGAGGGGACTTTGCCCAACTCCTCTCTCCACCACATCTTGGTCCCACAGGATCAGTGTGCGGAGATCACTGAGGAGTCCAAGGCTCTGCTGGAGGAATACAACAAGACTGTATCCTTTCTGCTCAGGCAAGCCCCTGAGGTGTGCTGTCCAAAGCCCTGTCCTTTTGTTCCACCTCTAACTCTCATCCTATCCTAACCATTCTTTCTATTGCCCTGCTTCCCACCTCCTGCCTTTTTGGCGGATGTAAGATCTGTCTTACTCAGATGCCTGTTCTCACCTTGACCTACAACCAGACAATGCTTCTCTCCAAGCAATTTGTGCAGTGGGATGAGCTACTTTGCCAGCTAGAGGCTGCCAAGCAAGTGAAGCCGGCAGAGGAATGATGACTTCTCCCCATCCCTGGGCAGGCCAGAGCAGCTGGGCCAGAGGCAGCTCTGTATTTATTGGATTCATGGCTGGCTCAAACTTTGCTGGGTCTCTGAGGTCAGACAGAGGTCTTGCTACTTGAGATTTGGTATTTGCAAAATCTGCCCCCCCACTCTCTCTACCCCCCACATTAGGGCCCTATTCTAGTGATAATAAATGGTAGGGGTCACTGGAGCAGTGTGGCTTTTTGTCTAGCCTGGGGAGGTTGGTGGGGATGGGGTTGGTGGAGAGTTATCAGCCCAGGGGGGTGGACTGGAAGCCATACTAATCTTGGTCTGGCTTTCTGGGAGGTGTATGACTTTCAGGATGAATGCTTTTATTTTACTGATGTGAGGGCACATTCAGTTATGTAGCCATTCCATGTTTCCCAATTACCCCCCTCTATGCAAGGTGGAGAGGATGCAAGTAGGTTTTATCTGATCCCTCCCCTGCACAGCTAGCAGGGGAGACAGAAGAGGGAAGTCCCACTAGGTGGGTCCTTGGCACAAAGAAAAAGGGATGGAGGACACAGCTCTGGAGGCTGATTTGCAGGGACTTTGAGAACCAAGGGAGCAACATGTGCAGAAGCAGAGAGGAACCTCAAAGTTTCTCTGTTGGGAACCTGCTAGGTGCTATGAGCCAAGATGGGGTGCTCAGCTGAGGTTTGGATGTAGGGAGTTTTAGGATTGGGGGAGGGGGTGTTGGCAAGGAGCAGGAGGGAGCAAGAAGAGAAAGCAGGGACTGACAACTCTGCACCTCTCTCCACCAAGTACGTGCTGCCCTCTTGTGGTCTCAGCGAGTGCTCTGGCTCCAGGCTTCTTTCCAGCTCTGCTGCATCGGGCTTCTCAGGTTCACACATCCCAAATAGTTTGAAACTGGGAGTCATCCTAGACTTTTCCCTCCATCTCCGTTCAAACAGTCGCCAACTCTTCACAGAATGTGCCCCCTAATAGCCCCCAACTTAATCTACTTTTCTTCGCTTCCACCACCACGTTTAAACAAATCATTCAGCAAATACGTGAGCACCTAGTATCCACTAGGTATCATGTGAGCTCTGTGAACTACCCCACGACCTGGAGTCACCAGTGATTGCCGCCGGGTTCCTCCTGCCACCCCCGCGTTGCAGCCTGAGTGAGATGTGCACACATCTGGTTTGACCGGCACCGCACCGCCCCGAGGCTCGCCCGTACCCACAGAAGCCGGGTGCAGCTCCGATCCCAGGGCTCAAGGCTCTCGCTCGCGCAGCAGCAGCCACTCAAATGGCACCTCTCAGTCCGGTTCACAGTGAAACTGGCTGCTTCGCCTTTGCTACTTCGAGGTGCTCCACTGGTAACGCCAACTCTGCCAACTCTAAGGGCCAAGTCTTCCCCGTTCATCGGACGCGGGACTCCCCTGCCAGCGGTTCCTCTCGCTCAGAGCTCTCGCCACCCCTATAGGACCTAGCCGCGGACACTTGGCGCCGCTCGCGCTCCCCGCGGCGACCTCCCGGCGGGCGGCTTTTCCAGCAGAGGCACCGAGCGGCCCGGGCCTTCAAGCCCCGCCCCGTCCGGCGTGCGCGGCCCCGCGGCCTCGGCGCGGCCCCGGCCCGCGCGCCATCTTGGCTCCAGATCGAGCTTGAGGCGTGCGCGGCCGCGGCGGTGAGAGCCAGTGGGGTACGCCAGCCTGTTGTGGGAGGCGAAAGGAGGTCGCTCCTTGGCCTCTCAGGCCAGCGGGTGCCCGAAGGCGACCTGGGTAGAAGGGGATCGGCCCTGGGAATCTTGGGGTGAGGAGTACCGGGATCTGTCTTAGGGATTCCGGAGTGGGGGAGGGAGTTTTCTCTTTGAGAAGCATCAGGATGAAGGCTCTTGGCTCTGTCTCCACGTGCTTGGGATGTAAGGGTCTGGCCCTGTCTTCCGGGAACGTGAAGGAAAGGCCTAGTCTCAGTCCTGAGGGGCGGAGGCTTGGGGTGAGGCGGGGGCTGGAGCTGGGAGCGCGCAGTCTTGTTCTCAGGGACTCAGTGCGTGTCCTGGGCACTTCCAAGGAGCCCAGGAGGAGGGAGGCCCTGCCCCAGTCCGAGGGGTCTTGGAATGAAGAGACCTGGCCTTGTCACCACGAACCTAGTGTTTGGGGTATCTGGTCCTATCTCAGGGACTCCAGGATGTCCTCAGGGAAAGATTATTGTCCTCAGGGAGAAGTGGGATGTGTGGGGTACAGCCCTTTCCTAGAGTGAGGCAGGTTGATCCTGTCATAAGAAGCTAGGTGAGAGTTAAGATCCTGTTTCTGAGACTGATGGGTTGAGGAAGCAGGGGTGGGAGTGGGCACGTGGCCTAGCAGTCATGTGACACTTATTTGCAGTGGGCATCAGAATTCTGACGGCAGCAAGCAGATGGAGCACTACCGGAAAGCTGGCTCTGTGGAGCTTCCAGCACCTTCCCCGATGCCCCAGCTACCTCCCGATACCCTGGAGATGCGAGTCCGAGATGGCAGCAAAATCCGAAACCTGTTGGGTCTGGCACTGGGTCGGTTGGAGGGAGGCAGTGCAAGGCACGTGGTGTTTTCAGGATCAGGCCGGGCAGCGGGGAAGGCTGTCAGCTGTGCTGAAATTGTCAAGCGCAGGGTACCAGGCCTGCACCAACTCACCAAGCTGCGCTTCCTGCAGACAGAGGACAGTTGGGTCCCAAACTCACCAGACACGGGCCTAGATCCCCTCACAGTCCGCCGCCATGTGCCAGCGGTGTGGGTACTGCTCAGTAGGGACCCCCTGGACCCCAATGAATGTGGCTACCAGCCCCCCGGTGCTCCCCCTGGCCTGGGCCCCACACCCACCTCCAGCTCTGGCGCCCGGCCCCGAAGACGGGCTCGAGATACCCGGTCCTGAGCACCTGATGATCCTGACCTCCAGGCCTGAATGTCTAAGATGACTGTGTCTTCTCCAAGAAGCCTCTGTAACTGCTCACCATCCCCAGTCAGATCAAGTCCATAGAAGTGGGCCTACCTGCTTCCTTCTGGCATGTGGAAACGACTGCTAAGACGAGAGACAGGTGTGGAGTGTCTGCTGGGTTCTGGATTACTTAAGAAGGGTTTACGTTGCCTTCAACCTATAGTGCCTCTGATCTGCCTTTTGACAGAGGTCCAGGGAGTGGGCTAGGAAATAAAGGTTCTGCCTGTTGTCTGGTGCCTCTGCTTGGCCTGCAATGTGGAAGTGGGATTAAGGGAGTGGGAGCAGCCAGCTTGGTGCTGGGAGGATCTTGAGTCAATAAAAAACCTTAAGCAGTAACCTGAATAACCTGAATATCACCCTTGGGTGGCTGTGTGCCACCTGCTCTGGGCTGGTTAGGAACTCTGCCAGGGTAGACAGTTTTCTTCATCTGTGGCATATATTAGAGTATAATGGTTAAGATTATGGTCTCAGGACCAGACTTCTTGGATTTGAATCCTGGTTTTGGCAGTTATTATCCATCTACTCTTTGACCTTGGGCTAGTTACTGCTCTCTATCTTAACTGTTCTCATCCATAAAACAGGATGATAGTGCTTACCTCATAGGGTTGTTATGAGGATTAAGAGTAGAAATATACACGTGGCTCTCAGAAATCACCAGGGCATATAAGGTTATATAAGTGTTAATTGCTATTATTATTAATGACTCAGCTTACACACATGCTTTTTCCTATCTTTAAAATATACCTCAGGGCCTCTGGTGGCACAGGGGTGAAGTTTCAGCGCTATCACTGATGCTATTGTGGCCTGAGTTTGTTCTCCAGCTGGGGAGCTGACCCACATGGCTCAGCAGACCTCTCCTGTCTCACCCACTGCTCCCATCAGCAGTGTTTATATGAGTGGACCTTTTTTGCTCCCTCTCTGTCTCTAGTGAATCCTCTCACTCCTCTCCTACATCTCTAGCCTATACCCCAGTTCTATGCATCAATCAATCTTTTAAGAAAGATATACCTCAATACCACATTTCCCTTCCAGATTTCATGCTTGCATTTTCACCCTCTGCTGCTCTGTTCCCTGTCTTCCCTGAGTCTAAGGCTCTCAGATTTACCATGCTGAGGTTAGTAATAGCAGGGAGCTGCAAATACCAGGGTGGGATTGTAGGAAGTGAAGAATTGAGTCTGTTGGGTCTTCTACTAGATTATGTAGCCTGGATGTCCTGTCACCAGGAAAACACAAAGTTGGAACCTTTCTGAGCTTATGTTGTAGAAAAGTGGGCCCAGCAATTTGAGGGCTGAAGTGTTTGGCTGAGTCTGAGCAGGCTTGAGCAGTTGAGGGCCTTGAGGAACTGGAGGCTTCAATGAGGCCTAGAGCAGGGTTAAGAGAATCCCAGGGCCAGCAGGCTGTGGTCAAAGCTTAAACACTGTGGACTTTTCTTCCCAGTGTAGGTTGTCTAGAGTGATGTGGAAGACCCTGAAGAAGTAGGTAATGGAGATTCCAGGGATATTAGGAGAGATGCAGAGGGTCGGGGGCATCTAACACGCTCCTAGAGGCTGTGGAGGTGACTTGAGGTGCTTGCTACCAGTTACTGACTTCTCCCCATTCTCCTTGCAGCTAGTTCAGGATTTTTCTCCCCTTCCAGCTTCCACATAATGTCTTTTCTTGTGTGTCTTCACACACACAACTGTGTGTCCACAGTTCTCTTGAGTCCTTAGAGCTTTAGGGCCAGGCCACTTGAAGATGACCTCTCGGCATCCTATCCTGACCCAGCCCCTATAGCCAGGGTGGAACCATCATGTGGAGTCAGTATGACGACATGCTGGAGGAGTGCTTCAGTGAGATGGTATTGCAAGTTTGTCACTGAGGTACCACTTGCAATTGGGGCCCCCAGGAGGGGTACTGGGCTGGGGTCAAAGTCCCTTGAGAAAACCAAGATCTGTAGCTCAGAGAATTGGGGACTGGACCACAGGCTGAGGGCGAGAATGGCTGATTGTTCTGGGACTCTCTCAAGGCCCCAGCTAGGCTGCTTTGGGCAAGAGGAACTGCAGAGAGGCAAAAACCTTGACTAACCTTAGGAGGGAATGTTAAAGTTGAGTGTAATTACAGGTTCAATTTCTTCTCATTTTCTCCTTAATCCATTGTGATACGACTTCTGCCTCCATAGTTTCTTAGGAAAGGCTATACTTTGGCACGTAATGTAAGGAAATGGAGACAGCTATTTCAAGAAGTTGGGTTGTAAACAGAGACAGCTGAAAAGGAATGTGGAATATGGAGTTTAAAATGTTAGTTATTTGTTTAAATGAATTAGTAGTCTTGACCATGTTTATAGGCTGATAGAGGAAGCCAATAGAGAAAGAGATTAAAGATGCCAGAGATTTTGGATATCTGTTAGAGTGAGACTCCTGAGCTGGTGAAAGAGAAGGTGATCCAGAGGCATGCAGGTTAGGGCCTCCCAAAGGGAACAAGAGAGATGCCGTCCTGTTAACAGACAGGAAGAAATTGAGAGCAGGTATACATGCGGGTGGAGTTGGAGGTGAAGGTGGGACAGGAGGCAGCTGAGAATTCAGGCTGGTGGGAAAGGTGTGAGATAGTTGTTGGAATTGGAAGAGATAATTAGGGGGCTATATGACCAGGCAGGGCTAAAAGCCCATTTGAGGCTGGGGGCCATGAACCTGTGTCATCAAGGGAGGTCAATGTCCTGGAGGTCCCATGAAAATATCCAGGGAGGGGTGAGAATGGAGGTGTGAGATAGGTAGTGGGTCTAACTGGAAGTGATACAGCATTGCAGTTGCAGCAGTTTCTAGGCCATAACAAATAACCACAAACTGGGTGAGAACAATAGAAATTCACATCTCACAGTGTGGAGATTAGAAGTCTGAAATCAAGGTGTGGCAGATCGTTCTCCCTCTGAAAAGTAGGGAAAGCTTCCGTACCTTTTCCTAGCTTCTGGTGGGCTGCAGCCTTTGGCTTTCTTGGTTTCTTGATGTCATTCATTTTCCTTTTGTGTGTGTATTTGTTTCCAACTTTCTCCTTTTTTAGAATGTCACTGGATTAGGGCCCTTTGACCTCACTTTAACCTGATTACATTTGAGAAAACTGTTTACAAATAAGGTCACATTCTGAAGTACTAGGAGTTAGAACTTTTTTGGAAAGGGAAGTCATGATTCAACTCACAACATTAGCAAAGGATAGAATAGAGTAAGGGAGTTTGAGAATTTAAGAGCTGATGGGACTTGGTTGTGGGCAAAAGAACAGATAGCTGAGGGGCCTCCCTGGTGGCCCAGTGGGTTAGGTCTCAGCAGTACGAAGCTTTGAGCAGCCACTATAGCACAAGTTCGATCCCCACCAGGGAGATGACTCCATGGCACAGCAGACCTCCCTGTGTTGCCCGCTGTTCCCCTCAGCAGTG